GATGAAAGCTTTATTCATGACGATAATCAAAACCAGAGAAGGAATAAAAGAAGTTACCAAGTTTATAAAAATGGGTTAGCTCCCTTGAGACTGCTAGAGACAACAGACGTGCTCCATGTTTTAGAGGAAAGGGGTTCCTCTGTTATTAAAAACAACATAAGGAATATCAAATGCCGCGGTAATCGGTATAAACAAGTGCCACAAAATGGATTACAATGTACCAGTCCAATGAAATATAAAGCCCCTGATATTATAGTCGATCATAGTCCACAAATGACTACGTTCGACCCCAACAAATATTACGATCTGAGAAACAATAACGTGTATACCCTAGCACCGTGTAAAAGTTTTGACAACCTTACGTTGAAACCATCGAAGAAAAGTTACCTTAGTAAAAACAAAATAAGATATGGTAGCAGTCTTCAAAACTTGGTTGATGATGGACAGCTGAAACATTTCGCTTCTCCGTCAGAAGACTTGGATACATTAGTGTCGCGCAGAGAAGATGCCAGGAAGTCGTACTCTGTAGTGGACGCCCAAAGTCGACCAGAACATGGGCGAACTTCTCGGTGTACACCTGCACCAGGCCCAGGAGTATACCGCCAAATAAACAACGACAGTGTTTCTGGAAAAAACGGTACGAAAATATCAATAATAAATAATGAAATCAGGAAATAATTTAATAAATACTTGCACAACCTGTTCTTTGTACGATATTTTACCTATTGCGTTGTTATTTGTGAGCATGTCTTTTGTTACGATTTTCCTCTATTTCATCATCATTTATACATATATTTTACATACAACGTTAAGTTTAAGGTATAAGTTAAACTTAACGGTACTAATTGCCACCAACTACGGGTCTATCATTGACAACCAGTTGCGATTTCATTTATTTATCGCAATTACATACCGCAATAGAATGATTCTATTATTGTTCATCTGCTAAAAGCTCAATTAAACAAATAATATTTTTTTATTATGTATCAGTCATATAGTCGTAGTATAGTCATCTTCCTTTAATTCATTCATATTTGACAGACATCTTCCATATAATTTTGTACAAAACCAATGAACAACTAATAAACTGTTTTTAATAGCCAAAAATTTATATTTTGTCATTTTAATTGTTTGAATATTATTACAAAAGTTATTCCAGGATTAAACTGTGTAAAATATTGCTCAGTGTGAAACCCTTCAGATTTTATAATAAGATCTACTGATCTACACAATTCAACCATTTTTATGGATACTTAAAGAAATATTTTTTTTCTCTGTAGTAGACTAAAAAATGTTCTGCGTAGTACTTAACTAAATAATAGATTTTACTGGCTTTTCGGTATTTATCTCTTAATAATTGGTATTTCATTTACCAGCTTTGTCCGAATATTATATTCTGATAAAAAGTACCATGTGTTAGGCTGTGTGTCATTATAGTTCTTCATTATGATCTGCCTCTGTGCTTTTAGTACTTTTCGACAACAGCAATGAAAAATAACATCGAAACCTCAGTCTTTTTGCTTATGCAATTATAGATTTTTAGTTTATTTAAAGTTTCATTTAAAGATATCGTATTTGAGAAAACTAAAGGAACTCATTTTAATTTGTGCGTTAATCTATCATAAATTAAATAAAAATCCGCAGTTGCTTCACAGTTAACTGCGTATAATAGTTTTTTCTATCAACCGTTGTCAGCCTCTAAAATACTTCAGCGCTCGAAATATTCATAAAGTATTGTTATTTTATTGTAATTTTATGAAAGCTAATATTGACAACTTGATTTTACTTGAGTGCTTCGACTAATTGAAGTTTCTACAGACGTAAAAAACGTACCTAGTTAAACGTGTTCGCTTCAAATACGTGGTCATAAAACGACCCAAGTACGTTAAAATTGAATCTTATACAAGTTTATCTCGAGCATAGTCGTGTTCTATTTCCATGAAACGGAAGAGAAGCTGCTAAGCTTTCGATTTTTCTTCCTTGTTCGTATCTCTGCGCTTTATAAACAGGTAGTGCATCTAATGAAATGCTTGATATTGTGTAACGAGACGTAAGAGACGCGGGAACTGCACCATTGTGTCTATTGTTATCATAATGTTAAGGCCGTTGACAAAAAAGTTGACTAATGACTAAACAATGCTACTACGTTACTCGCCACTTATACAATCATGTGTATTCTCATTTACTCTTTAATTGTTGTTCGCTTATAACTTCTGTTTATGCTGTTTTTGGAATTTGTAATCAGTTGTTGGATGTTATACTATGCTCAATCGCCCATGTTTTTATTAGATTTTATAAGCTAAACTTAATTAAGCGAAATTTACCGATTTTTGCGTGCTTTGGATATAATCATAAAATTTGATCATAATCAAGTCTTTCGTTTTGGTTCGCTATGTCATACAGCCGACAAAGTTACCGAATCCAAATGACATATTGTGATAGTTAGTTTAATTCGGTAACTGTTAATTTAATATTAGAAAATACATTGTTTATATTTCCGACATTGATCTAAATCTTATATCCTTTTCAATATTGCTACGGATTAATTTATGAAAACAACTTTCGATTTCGAAAACTCATAAGGTCAGTGGGTTTCCAGATGAGTGCTAAAGCAAGAATCTCACTTATTAACATAATGATTAGATTGACTTTCGTTTTCTAGATTTTTATTGCGATATAAACGGTTAGTCCTATGAAACGAATTAAAATAACTGCTTATAAAGATAATTTCTTATAAATTATTTTTAAAGAAATTGAATTATTGTAATTAAGTATTAAAAAAATAAATTATTTTTAATATTCTATATATATAAACAAAAATGATTTTCCGTTCGTTAGTCTCGCTAAAACTCGAGGACGACTGAACCGATTTGGTTAATTTTGGTCTTGAACTGTTCGTAGAAGTTCAGGGAAAGTTCAAAAGGCGAGATTAAAAAAAAAATTAGGCGGTGCGAAATCTGCCGGGTCAGCTAGTATTTATTTAATACTTATCCTTAATTAATTTTAAAACTGTACTTGCTCATGTTAGATAGAACATAACCCGAATCAGACGTTAAAGGATTAACCTTTTAGTACCTAATTTCAAGGTTTCATCTTATTAAGCGTGGTAAAATGTTGATTCTTGGTTCATTACATATTTAATTGATGATATGTAAAAAGTGTCCTTATTACGATGTATTTATTTATTCTGATGAGATCGATAGAGATTGGTAGTAGTATTACTAGTTTCGTTGATCGTTGCATCTTGTAAATCCAAATCGTAGCTTTTTATTATCGCGTCAGTGATAAAAGAGTAGTAAGTTGATATGTCAGTGATCTTTTACGCATAAGGGACTGCGTTGACAGGACAGTGCTGTACCGATGTCGCATGCTAAGTAGGACTTAATACTGAGTGTGTGCGCTGTTGATGTGTTATGTATGACGCACTCGGGCTTGGGAAGTGAGTATCTACCGCGGCGTCCGTCTGTCGCGGGCGGTGCGACTCGCAAGTGCGGAGGTTCACTGGTTCAGTCGACGCCAGTCGTCACTGCGACTTTGGGCGCGTCCTCCTGTCGCCTTCGCGTTTATTTATAAACTCACGCGTCATCGGTATTATAATTGATAAACTGATGTTTATATTCCCCTATTTGTTGTGAACCCTGGTTCTATTGCCATACGTGAAAGATACATTTGATGTTGTGGATAAGGAACTCTACGCGATAGAGCTGCAGGTGCATTTTGTTGAGGTACTTATTTTTTATGATTATTCCTTTGTATCGAATCAATGCTGGCCATTCTTATAATGTTGTTTCTTCTAATGATAAAAATCATATAATTTAATTATTCTAAGTTGTACACTAATAAATTAAAATCTTAACGTTTTTAAATGGTTCAAGTAATGGAACTTTGTAGGAAAAATGCACCGTTTTCCTCTAAATCTGGCCTGATTTTGTGGTTTATCTTCCTGTTTCTAAAGGACAAAATGTCCGAGACGTATATAATTAGCGTTTAATTGGGACCAACCTAGTCTGCATTGCTTCGTTTAGAATAAATACAATAACCTGACCAGGTGTAAATAATAATATATTGGTAACTATTGATTCATCATTTGCTACATTTATGTCCTGTTTAGTGTTCCTTTACCTATAAGGAAGTTTTATGTTATTATTTGGTGTTAATTATTAAGTAAATCGAAATACTAAGTTAATGTAAAACTTAAATTTTATTAGAAAAAAGGTAACGGGAAGCTGAAAATTTAATTGCTGTTTCTAACATTTAATTTCGTACTAGGTAACATTGCCATACTTAGTTTAATGCAGTAACTAATAATAACAAAACTACCTTCAAGCAGACAGGTTAATTGAAAATCAAATGATATTACTTTTTTATGTTCTTTTAATAGGGTCTAAATACAAGGTGTTTTATTTCAATGTCGCAATGACGTAACTGTATGTATGTATCACGTTTTATAAGGTCATCTTAAAAATTATGGAATGTGTTTACATTAGTTTTTGTTTATCCAGCTATAATAGTAGCTCTTTGTAAACGTAATAGGTTCGTTCGTTTGTATGTTCTACTCTACATCTTGAATATTAAGCTATGATTAGTTCGTTTTGCACTTTGATCACAGTTTCCTAAATTGGTAAGGTTATTTTATCTGTCTGTGCCGAGCTGTTACAAACTCATCACGGCATTAGATCACTAGGTATCTATCTGGCACGTATATGGTGCTAAGTACATTTACTTACTAAAATAAATATTGGTTAATGATAGCTAAATGTTTAACTTTTATGGTTTTTATATTACTATAGTAATGCAATGCAATAGAGACAACTGGACATACATGAACAATATTTTGGAAATTGGAAGCCAAAGTTATCTCGGGGACATATTCCGACACAAACATGGAGTGGATAATAAAATAATTGTATAAATTAATGTCTTGCTTGTTTGTTAACTACTGTGTTCCACAAAATTCATTACAGTTGTAATTTGTAGTAATTGATTCAATAAAATTACAGAGAACGAATCGGGCAGCGAGGGGAGCTCGGGCCACCGCGGGTCGTTGCGCGGCGCCAACAAGTTGGCGAGGCGCGCACGTTCATTCAAGGACGACCTGCTCGAGCGCATCTCAAACATGCGCTCACCGGGGCAACAGCATCACCGACCGCATCTCTCTTCCAATATCAGGTCAACATACTTGCCCATCCGTTTCTATGATAACGCGCCATATTTCCGCGGCGCTTTATATAATTTCATACACATACACAGCTTACAAGTTGATTGCCCAGTGTTATGTTAAACGAGCCCATGCAATAGAGACATAGTCTTGGAATCATGTCACTTAAGTGGTTAGTAAATCAGCTGCAATGTCTACAACATAATGTTAATATTTATATAGTTAGTGTCCTCATAGACAAGGAACAGAACAGACGTTATCATTACTCACTGCAGATGTTTCGTTGATTACATCTTATGGTATACATCACCTTATCTAGTTACTTGTTTACATTGCGATGAAATCTTTAAACTGTATATTACTTGTTATCTGTATTGATAAATTTACATACATAACTCTCGTATCTTTCGACTGACAGCGACAAGAAATTGTCCCTCATACTAACAGTATTATCTTTGCCACTAGTGCAAGAACAATGTTATTGTGTTAGTTTTATGATTATTTTAATTCAAACAGTCACGTAAATAGTTCTTTAGTGTCGTAATTTGTTAAAGTGTAGTTCTGTGAGGCGGTGCCGATTATTGGGATTGTTATTAATGTGATGGACATTGCACTAAATGTGGCATTAATTTATGAGTCATGAGCGCGACCCGCGACTGTCGGACTCATTAGTACATTGTCCGCTGAAATCTCATTAGTTTAGTGCGTGCAATGTTAAGTGATTACATTTTAATGTCCGAGTGGACTGTCAGTGTAGTCGAAACACTTTTTATTTGTTTATCGGTCGGTTAGCACAAGTTTCTTTAGTCACAGTGAGATTTTTTGAAAGTAGTTCCCTCATTGCGGAAGATTATAAACCAAGTGCAGCGTTTGTGTGTTGTTGTGGCCTTGGTAACAGCAGTTGAATATAATGATGTCAAACGCATTACGAACGCCTGTTGGCGAATGGCTCAACAAACGAACAAATAAACTTCACCAAAGATTTGCTAACAATGGAAAACGGTATGTTGTTACAAAACGGCAGAATAATTATATGAACTAGATTGCTAATTAGATATATGTATATTAAATTGAAATAAATATGTATAAATTCGTTTAATAGGTAAGTCGTAATTTTGACAAAAGAGACCTTATCAATAGGTATGTACACAAAACAAATACTGTCAAGATAAGAGCGCACCGAAACTCGAAAGTACAAATCATGATTTACAAATTAAGATTATGACCTTCATAAGATTACAAAATTTGTTAATGTTTTGTGATTGATTTTATAAATAAATGATATCTGAATGTGTATAAATTAAGAAACTTTCAAAGTGGAGATTTTAATCTTGAAACTTAAAACCGGTCGGAGAAGTCAGAGCCTTTGAGTCTATACCAGGTTGTCATATGCGGCTATTCGACGGCAGACATGAAGGGAAGGTATACATAATTAAAGTATAGTACGTAAATTAGTCGACAGAAGATACGAGTTGATTTATTTACAATTTAAAATAGATGTCCACGTTTTGGCATTTCTCATAAAATGTTTCGACATAAAGATCTCTGCGACTGTTACAATTTATTTGTGACAATGACAACCGTTTCGTCGGAAATAAAACTAAAAAAAGATAGGGTTTTCTAGTTATATTATTTGTAGCACGAGATCAATACTAACTGTATGAAAAAAATAATAAAAAGCAACATTTTCTTTCAAAGTTCGACTCAATAAAATCGATTACACGATCTTGTCACGAAAATCCATTTAGTTGACAACTAGAACCACGCAGAGTGGAGTCGAGGTGGTATAATAGAAATCAGAGTGATTGTGATTGCGAGGTTGTTATGCAATTAGGAATATTTGGATGCTTGTTAACTTTATTTTTAACAACAAAAATAAACCTCAGCATAAAGAGAAAAAGTGTATATTTTCATATTTTTGGGGGAGTGTAGCTGTAGAGGTATCTATCGAAATTCCTACAAGAATGGGGAAAAACGACATAAGTTAATTTTATTATACTCGAAAATTACTCAAGTAACTCGCCTAGTTTCGAACTACACTAGGGACTCATATTCATGAGCCCTTAACCGTTTGAATGCACCGATATGAGACAATAGAAAATACATTGCGTCTCGCGGGGATCCACGTTTAGACACACTACGGGTTAAACATAAATAATGTAATACGTCTCGCGAGAATTATAATACTAAAATATTCGGAAATTCGTCCAAATTACATAAGAAAATTATGTTCACTATTCCACTTGTGACCTTAATACAATCAATCAATCAATTAGATATCTATTATAGTAGTATTTTTAGTTGAACTTACGTAGACTAAGGTGAACCGGGACCTCCTACTTGAATATCAAATATAGCTTAGCTTTGTATTCGCGCAGAGGTGTGGGCTTGCATGCAAAGCAGATTCTTTCGCAACGCATACCGAGCAATGACATTTTAAAAGAACGTTTATATAATAATAGATAGAATAGTATTCACCTTCGTTAAATAAACAATTGATCTATTTTGGTGTATATTAGTTTGTAATTAGGGCGAATTTCTTTTGATTTATTTGATATTTATTCATTAATTCTTTTGGAATAGTTTGTTGTTACATTTATTTGATTAGTCATTTGTATGTTTCAGCAGATCACATTCACCACTTAGCCCGAAAATCCGGAATATGACCAACAAACTCAATACCGCAGAGGAAGGGGAGATCACACCTGCCAAAGAACTCGAACGGCTAGTCAAAGAAGTTAGTATTAATTGTAATTTAGTACTAAAGAGATAATATTTCACTGTCGAATCTGTACTTACATTTATTCTAAAACGTCCATTGTCCGCAGGTTACGTTCGGCTTAAAACACTTTTCGGATGTTATTACAAAAGGGAAACTGGAAATGCTCCCCGACAATGGCACCATTGTTTTTGAATCTATTGCAAATATACACAAAGGTAATTTTATTCATTTAATTTATAACGAGTGGTATTCCATTTGTTAGGTCTTCACTACATGTGATTAATGTAATGATTTTCCACTAAAACATATCTTTATTAGCTTTAAAAAAGCTCAGTCACATGTATAAGACATTGTTCACGTTACATTTCAGCAATAAAACCTTACTGCAGCCGATCGCCGCAACTAACAAGCGCCGTTAAACGTCTTTGCGCGGCATTAGCCACGCTGATACGACTGTGTGACGAGATCACCGCTTTAAGTTTGCGCGCAGACGCTAGCAACGAGGAATTGGACACTTCGGCAGAAGCTTTATCGTCAGAATATGTGAGTTCTGTAGTGAAGGGAGTGACTGGTGCAGTGGAGGAAGTGTCAACCCTGGCCCAGCAACACATGACGCGGCCTGCACTTTCCCCACGTCCCGCACTCGTATCACCGCGGTCTTCAACGCAAAGGAATTCTTTACCAGGTGCGTTATTCATTTCTGTTATAGAGCCTCTATTACAAAGCCACTGTGGTGGAACTAATCAGTTCCGCCAATTATACGTACAACTGCAAAATTCTTAGCTATCAATTATCCGTTCACAAATACACCGCACTACTGCAGTGCATAACCGATATTATCTTATTAGTACATCACTCAGATTTTATTTTCCTTGTAATAAAAATGTTATCTTGTATCTTGAGAATTTCAATTAAATCATAAGTTGAATCTTTTTTGTTTGTCAGTTGTGAAGAAAAGGTTGTTATTTTTTCCAGATATTCCGCTCACTCCTAAAGAGCGGTCCTTGCTGACTGGAGAGGGAGGGACGGAGGCCGGTGGGGTGCGCGCGTCGCACTCGTCCGAGTCTGTGCTGGACGCTCCCGACTCGCCACCGCCCAAGCCTGCCAGGCCCAACCGGTCAGTATTACATACTTCAAACATAGACGTGCCAAGAACACCGCTCACTCGTATCGCAGACATGTGAAAGTCACTCACAGTAACATATACAGTATTGATGGTTGGCGTAAATTTTAATGGCGATAATATAACACTTCTAAAGCATTGTGGCCTCGTTAGCCTCGAATGTTTAATGATACATGGAACGTGGGATACTAATTTTAATTACTGTGTCCATAAATGTTTGTTGGTTTCGTATGTTTTAAGAATTTAAGGCACACAATTTTTGATTGATTGTGTCGAAGCTATGGACATTGGATTAGTGATATGGTAGTATCTATTTTTAACGAAGGGCTATTAAATCGTAAATGTAGTGAGAGCGCAATGTTGTTGCAGGAAAGTCGAGTTGGCCCCACCCCTGCCGCCCAAGCGCAAGTCAGCGAACGACAACTCCCTACTGGCTCTCTCTATTGATAGGTTAGTTGAAAGTTCAGTTAAGCTATTACTAAAGCTTGTTTCTACTTTCATTAGTAGTAACTGGTGGTGGTTGTTTATTTGTATTTATTTGATTTGGTTGTTTGAATTCATTGACAATGGAAATCAACTTTAACATTGTTGTTATTTTGTACATTTGCAGACTGTCTCTACAATCTCATAGTAGTGGTTCGTTGGACTCGATGCTGAACGTATCAAACGATGAGGAGAGGAACGCGCACGACACTAACAATCATGACCATGTATTTGCCACACCGCCTAACTCCGACTTAGTTGGTAAGTACTGATTCACATTATAATTATTATTTAGATTAGACGCAAATATAGATAGTTAGCATCAATCAATAGCATCTTGCTAGCAACAATTAAACAATCACTGTGGTTTTGTTCATTATCTGTCAACTCGCAACGGATTGGGCAAACTATTATTGTAATTTTCAGTAAAATCCCAACCATAGTAAATAAATCTCACATGTACCTAGTATTGCCATAATGGCAATAGATTCACTACTTATTTCATAGGTAATGGGACTCGTAACGTAACTGGACTAGCAATAAAATAGCTAAAAGTGGCGAAACAGACCCTGTTACTCAAGATTCTCTGGGTGGCACTTAAATAATGGATTGTGTGTACGTTACAGGCATGTGCAGTTGCAACAACGTGAGCGAGATGCGCGCCTCCGTGGAGTCGCACGAGTCACACATGAACTCCACTCATATGCACGCACATTCCAACCATAACCGGTAAGGCGTATTATTTATTTCAAATTATGGTTTCGACTTTCTTACAAATTCATATTGGAATTTGAAGTTAGATGGTAACTATTGAGTATTCCAATAAGAAAATTATTTCTATATATCAGTATAAGGCACAAGCTCGCCTTGTATTGTAAATGCAACTCTTGGCATAATTGATGAAAAGAGTTGCGTGTAATATATATTCTATTTACAAAAGTGTTAGTTAGTTACAGTGATGTTACCAAATGAGAAATAGACCACCCTATTTTCGATACTTTTATTTTGACTCAAAATCAAGACTGCCCCGCGACTGCCGGGCAAGAGGTCTCGGGTTCGATTCCCGGGTCGGGTAAAGTATTTATTGGTTTTTTTTTTCAATAAATTTAGTAGTACCACGGAGCCTGGATTGTGCCCGGTATATGGCAATAGGCTCACCCCCTATTATATGGGACTCATAACAAAAATAGTGAAAAGTGGGTGTTACATTGTACAGTGGCATTAAGTGCCGTAATGTACACCTCTGCCTACCTCTTCGGGGATAAAAAGGCGTGATGTTATGTTCAAATTCAATTTCGCAAATAGAAATTAGTCCAGTCACAAAGTAAATATTGTAATACGCATTTATAAGGGTAATGAAAACAAATTATCCTGAAGTACTATTTATTTTTATTAGCAACAAAGCAAACATGATACGGCAGATTGTTAGCAAATAGATTACATATATTAAACAATTTTCCTTCATGTGTGGACAAATTAAAATTTCTAAAATAAATTGAAAGTAACAACTGGGTATCTATTTGTAATAATCATCGCCATTATCCTCATTCCGTCCACTATTAGAGATATCTTTTCAAGAACAATGAATACAATAACTGCTACATTAATTAAAATGTAGTTTGTATTAATGATCAATAACACATTATTAACTAAAAATCGCGGGTTACTCACGTGACTGAGAAAAGCTCAACTAGTTTCGAATCACAGAGGGGTTCTTCGTCTATGACTATGTCGCGCAGTCTACTGGCTCCAGTAGACGCTATATTTATAAAAATAAAAGAAAAAATAACACGTAATTTTATGAAAACAAATTAATTTTCAGTTTCTCCAATGAGTCCGGATTTGTCTCTGTTGCGGAGATATCAGCTGAGCACAGCTTCACGTCGATTTCATCTCACCACTACACTAGCCATACGGACAGGTACCACTACTATCTATATCACTGTTATGTTTGTTCAACTTAACTGTCTTGTTTGCACATTGGTTTGGTTTTGTGTCATTGGTTTCGTGAAACACTTCTACATTTCCAATTATCACTTTCTTTTTGTCTTCCTCATTTGTCCTGGTTTCAATGTTTTAAGAGATGTTCAATATACTTTTTGAAATGAATAACATTTAGTCATTTTAATGTTATTTGCCTTAATTAATTCCAAAGTATATTAAAAATCTCGAATGTCATGCTTCCTGTTATTGTTTTTGCAGTATTTTTAACAGTACAGACTGTGTGACAGAAATGAAGTGCACAGTACAAAGCTTTGAGAGCCGCATGAATGTAACCAATACGAACAGTGTAACCACGCACCATTCTTCAAAGTGAGTGTTCCTCTGTATTACCACACAAACAAACACCTCACACTAGTTTCATTAGAAGAATAATTTAAACTGGCTTGTTTTCGTATAAATTAGTGAAATTAACAGACACAGATCATCAACAATTTAAATGTTGTTACAAAACTTAAACTACATTGTTTGCAAGTGTTACACACATCCATAATTCAAATAACTAGCACTGATAAAATCTTTTCATTTCGGTGTGCATTGCATTGACTCTACTCACAACATACAAACCTACTGAATGTAACGAAACATTAATTTTGTTATTTACTTAATAATTGCAACATGCCATTCATTATATGACCAAGGGCGCGTCGCGGTTGTCGTAGTTATTTATATAGTTGAAATGTTTTGAACGTTAGACTGGCGAGTATCACGTCAGACGAGAACGAGACGCCGCCCGAGCTACCGGTGAAGACGCGGCGCAACATTCGCGGCGAGGTGCAGCAACAGTTCCCCAACGTCGAGATCAGGTGAGTGGCGGCCGGGCTGGGCGCGCTCGCGCTGTGTAGTAGCGCAGTGGCTGGTACTGACGAGTGTCGCGGTGTCCGCAGGGCGGGCGCGGCGGGCGGGGCGCCGGGCGAGGCGCGGCCGCACACGCTGGCCGTGCACCAGCCGCCGCGACCGCCGCCGCTGCCGCTCAAGAAGAAACACAGTCAGTATACCTTCTATTACACTTTTTAATTAAAACTTCAATGACCCAGAATTGGTGGCGGAACGAAATTGTTCGTACAAATAAACAACTTAATACTACTTTTTATTTAACCAACTTCTTTGGAATGAATGCCTGCGTAAATTAAACGTTAATATTAACGAAGAGGTGTAAATACTCTGCTGTGAATAAAATAAGTTTATAAATGTATTCTGTTACACGATCACAATGTTGATGGCACTATTCATCTTTGTATTTCCTAAACAAATATTGTTTTCATTTGTCTGTGATTCATGTGAATCTGTAAATGCTTTCAGCATTCACTTGATGGTTCTATTACTTTTCTAAAATTCTTTGGTCATTTTCTGTTTGTGGGGTGCTATGGTATATGAATGATAATGTTATGTGTGGGGCTATAACGGCATGTTTGTCTGTTGTGCCGGTGCGGCGCGGCAGTGTTCCAAAGCGTCGCGTACAGCGGTGAGTGGATCTATGCATGTCAAGCGCTATTTAGCTCCAAAATAGATCATCAAACTATGAAGATCAAAGCATACTATGTGTTATTATAATATTTTAAGATATAAGAAGATCTACTACATAACAGGCATATTGGATATTCGTCCAATGTGCTTTAACAGTCAATAATGCTTCTTGTTACTCACGCTAGAAAGAGTTGCGGCAATCTTTAAGTGATTTTTATGTCATAAGGCACCATTACAATGTGAATTTCAGTATGGATGGATGTCTTGCTTGCTTTCCACGTGCAAACATTCGACGGCTATGTATCAATATGCTTCCGCAGCGTTGGTTAACAACAGCAGAACTCGATTCACGCCGTAGTTAATTATCACCCAAGATAATGAATGTAATTAGCGCTTCATAAGATCTATGTGTTATTGCTGTTTCATGTTGGTATCACGGTATTTCTGTGAAAAATACATTATCGCCTGTGCTCATAGTGTATCTGTTCATCGTTTTAACTAACTATATTAAGGTGTATTTTAAATAAACATTTTTAGTAAGAAAATAGTATACACTACATAATGTACAACACATAATATTTAGTTAAATATTACAAATTTAGAATTCAAATTCAGTTAATTGATAAACAGATTAATAAATCATGAAGATCATTAGCCCAGTTTAATTGAAATACACCTTGCGATTCAACTGTAAGCCAATATGTAAGTGTTGTGGTTGTTTCTGTAGTAATGGCGTACATGGAGATGTTCGGTAACTGCAGTCATCCGCCACATAACCCCGCAGCTCCGCCCGACATGTTCCGCCACTCCATACACACGTACAACGTTGCCAGGTACAATTATTTATATTATTCATTACACAATTATGATGTAGTCTCAAATATTACTATTAAAGTCTTGTAGAGTTTGTTACTCAATAGTTATACTATGCAGAAGTGGCGTAATGCGCGCGTTTGTTAACTTTCTTATTCGTTTTTAGTGCTAAACAACTCGGTGACGGCGCAATGAGCATGCAACATCAACAAGTACAGCGTTCTATCGCACAGTCATTTACTGTACATTTTGGGAATCCACCAATGAGGTATGGAGACTTGTTTTTTTATTATATTGAATGAATAATACATAAAAAATAGCTAGTAATTAACTGTTATAATACCTGCATTCCTAGTTTACACTGTAATATATCTTTAATTAGATTAATGAAGGTAGTGTACATCGATTATGATATTATTATATTTCAGCAGTGGTTCAGAAGATAGTGTTAACATGATTACATCAAGTGGTACTAGTCCGATCCCGTTGGAGCCACCACCAGCCCTCCCGCCTAAGATGAACAAGAGTAAACAGGTAATAAAATAACTTACATGTACATTATATGACTCCTTAGACAATATTTTGAAAACAATCAGTTTAACAACACTGAATTTAACTTGGCATTTTGTTTATCTGATAAAATTAATCTAGTTTTCATCGCGCGAATTCGATAGATTTGATAACTGGTAATTTCAAAATGGCTTACCGAATCATTGATTGTATCAATAGAATGATTCACGTTTCGGTGCGCGATTAATTGAACAAAATAGAGTTAGGATATGTAGCATGTATGTTGTATACCTATCATTACATAATTGCGTCTTTTAGGTTAAATTAAATAAATATAAATGGAGTTACTTATTTTATTAAAGTGTTTTTTTTCTTTTGCAGCTCTCTGTAAATTCCAGTAACGAGTTATTGCCACCTCCATCCCCTCGGCCATCGTCACACAACAGCTCTACCGATGAAACAATGATAAATAACGTAAGTTCTTACAATTTTTTTTTTGGTTTTACCACATCCAAAGTTCCGTTCTTTTGTGAAAAATTACTACCTATTTTATGAGTTGTGTTTAAAGACTTAATGTTTTGTTTCAGAATTCAGATGAGTCGTTTACTAGTACAACAGTGCCTGGAAAGTTCCCACTTGAAGACGAATTGGAAATGCTGGTGCAACAACCCACTCCTTCGCCTGTACCATCACAGGTAATTACGGCACCGTTATAACATCATGTAACTGTATAATTCGCTGGTCTGGAATAGTTGAATAATTTTTTGTAATCATCGGTTACAGAGAAGTGAAGGTAGCACGGAACCTCCACCGGCCACAATTGAAAATAATAGCAATAGTGAGCCCCCTCCGGCAGACGCGGATGACATCATACTGCAGACTGACATTAGCTCATGGCTAGTACTCAGGGATCTCACCAAGACAGAAGGAACTGCAAAAGACGGGCCCGAGGTTCGTGGAGGCGACCCTGACGCTCTCATCGTACTCGCCACCAAAGCCACTAAAGGTTTGTCGCCACCTTCGAGCTAATTCATGTTCATGGATAAGGGATCATTAACTTGTATTGACAATTTTCATTTCCACGAATGGGTTGCGTTAAAATTATAGATCCTAAACTATCTCATTAAACACTGATATTATGATAATAGGCATGAGTGCATTTTGGATACTAGTAAAACATGTTCAAATAATGATTGATAAACTATGATTGAAGAACATCAGGTATAAGATTCGATTTTAGTTTTCAATTAGAACCATCCACATAAAATCTATCACTATAACTTTGTCTTATCATTGCTTCTAACCTCTCAACTGTCATGCTTTCACTTTACAGAAACGGACGAGTGTAAGTGGTTGAACCATTCTTTAATATGGGGCTGGAACTTGCTGGTTTTTATTTTCACTAATATTTGGCAAGCTTCTTGAATGTTGCTTCTTGTAGCATCGAAATATTTAAACGAGTTGCATAAAAGATAACAAGTGCTGTTTAAAATGTTATTAATAAACTAGCAGCTATGGGTCAAATTCTATTTGATACCAGGTCTTGTATGATGAGTGTGAGCTAGAATGCAGCACAGATTTAGATATAACTTTAAAAATCTAACCACAAGCTTCAAACGTAGTTAAGTGCTGTGCAAATGAACTTCCGCTTCTGCTTAATAATTTATTTAGTAGTAACATACTTTTTGGATGATCAAAATTATTCAATACTCAATTCTTTGCCTTCAGGCAGTGTTGTATGTTTACGATAATACATTTGATCCTTTTTTTTTACTTCAAAATATGTTACAATTTACAATGCTTATTTTTAGCTTTATGCGTAAATCTACTTATTTTTAGCGCCAAACGAACAGGCGCTCAAAATTGAGTAAACAATGGCGCATGAAGTTTGCAGTTCAAACATTGGTCATAGTTACAATATTCGAAAAAGAAAACCTAATATATTTTAATAGTACACAAAGCACCGCTAATTAGTTAGCGGCGCTACACATCGACACAACTATCATTTACACAATATACATGTGTGGGTAATTTCATATCAATAGATATGTATAGAAACATTCGTCTATCACACACATCTTGGTATTTAAAAATCATTTTTGTGTCGGTATACGCAATAATTTAGTAAATAAATTTAAATAAAAACGAGGGTAAAGATAAAATTACTCATAACAAACTTTGAATAAATCGAAATCAAAAATAATGAACGATCGAGCTATACAATACCCATATAAATATAGTGCTTTCTCATTGTAATTTTATGTTACTGAATGATATAAAATATTTCGATGATCTCATCTACAGCGCGCTTGGCGCAATGGTTATCGCCTCCAATTGTCAAGTAAAGTGCCGCCGGATCGATTCCAACATTCACATGTTGTTTTAGAATTAATTTATCAAATATTTGAAATTTGAAATTAGAAACAATTAAATCTTTTCTTTTTTTTCCTTTCCTATTGTTCTAAATCTTATGTTAATTTTAATAGTAAATACTTTAGATTTATTTATACCTATAATATCTTTTATTTATATTTTAGTTCTAGTTATTTATTATTTAGAATAATCTCATTTGCTTCATGCATTTCAACCAACTTAAATAAGATAAAAACAGTAAAAAAGTAATTAACTGTGATTTCTTAATGGTTCGATACCTGAGTATATTTGAAATGTTTGTGGCGACCATAGAAATCTCGAGTCATTTTATTTTACACGCTTACGCTTATGAAGTAACTACCGACTATTTAAAACATGTTTTTCAAATCACCCGACTTACAAAATAATTGCGTTCTTAGTTGTCAATTTATGAGGATTTCATAGTTTATTGCTACACTACTTATATTCGTGTGCAAAGTTATTTTTATTTTTACAAGATGTTCCAACACCTATCAACATTTAAAAAGGCTGAAACCATTGTTTTGCATGAGCAAAACATAACTAACAATAACTGAAATAGCAAGGCGTTTAATGATATCGGTGAGTAAATAAGATACTACGTTGATATTCTAAATAATATTTATTTCATTTTGTAACTCGACACACCTATCAATTTTTGCACTAGAATAAAATAATTATTGCAACTTATTATGAAGTTCAATATTATAAAGATATATTAATAATTTATTATTAATTGTATTGTAACTTGACTTGTTTTTGTTAGGAGTGTTTCTTTAAAACATATATGGTTAGGGATTTTTATTCCTTACGCCACTACTTAATTATAAATTATTATTCTAACATTGTGTTTACTTATATTTATTATTATTTTAAGTAACTTTAATTCCTGTAAAGTATTTCCTGGTATTTTAAATACTTATTTGTTTGGTATCAACAGAGGAGATCCATGCAGTTATGGGTGCACAGATATGCGGAGACCGGTGACGTTAAACATCGTCGACGTGGGCCTAAACCAAAGGCAAATTCATCGGCTCGGCACTACGACATCGTAGCCAGGCACATGGCTGATCCGTTCCTGCCAACCCGCACTACAGCGACAGCACTGAATGTTTTAATACAAACTGTACGGAGACACCTGCATTCTGGTTTAAGGTGCAGGAAGCCAGAGAAGAAAATATTGTTATCTGTGGTTCACCAGCAAAAGCGCTAAGAATTTGCTAAGGACTTTATTAATTTTGATTGGGCGAACAGTGTAATCATATTGAGCGACGAAAAGACTTTCAAGTCGGATAAGGATGGGCGTAAAATATTGTGAAGAAAAGATGGAGAAAGGTATACGAATTGCAACCTTCTGCCTTGTAGGATCAGTGATTGTATTGATTTCGGAATCAATTATTGAGCCTGTCAAACTCTGCCTTTATTAAAATTAACATAAAATAATGTTTAATTTTTTTAAGAATATTAAAATGCTGTCTAGAACATACGGTGAAGTGATGTTATTGTTTTGTGGTTAGAAATTGTCATAATTTCTTTCTATTCAACATGTTTATTCACTTCACTTTAATTTTTCATTAACAAATTTATTTAACTGCTTTCGAACTTGATTGACATATTATATTTACGCCCATCTTCAATTAATTTAAAGTTTCCCTGATTCTAAAGGTCATGAAAGTTAAAATCGTTCCATAGCATTCGTCACATTCTTTTTTATCATACAGCCCACTGAATATTGAACCTTATAACAACCGTCGTAAAATAGATAATTAATGGAAGTTCAAACGACAAAAAGTCGCCCATTTCAAGAAATATTATGTTGACAGTAATTTTTTACATGTTTTACTTGTTTATTACTGTAAAACTGTAATTTAATAATACATTATATTATTAAATTACAAAACAAGAATGTTGTATATTTGTTTATTACCTACTTAATAAAAAATGTTGCTGCCATCGTATTACCGCTGTACCATGATATTTCCCGATTCGACTATGAGGTTTATTGTCATACCTATTAATTATGATTTAAAGAACTTTAAACTTAACATGTGGTATATAATTAATTATTAGATATAAATATTGAATATAAAACAACATATTTGTATAATAAATAAATTAATTGTAATAAAAAATAGTATTGTTTTATTTACCAACTCATTTGCTTCTTTTATAGCCTGATATTTATATTTTATGAAAAAACAAAAAAAAAATAAGAAAAATAACAAGGTAAAATAAAATTAACTTTTAGCTGGAATAGAACCCACATCATTGATCCTTGAAAGACGATAAAAGCGTGCTCATTAACCAATCGACCACGAGCACTACGATAATGACAGTGAAAATGTCGGGTCATATCAATGATTGTAAATAGTTTTAACCTTACCTATGCATTAAATTATAAAAATACGTATACCGACACAAGAATGAAAATACCAATGTGAACGTGGTGGACGAATATTTTTATATACAGCTATATGAAATTACGCACACATGTACACTGTGTAAATGACAGTTGTGTCGATGTGTAGCGCTGCAACTAATTAGCGGTGCTTTGTGTACTTGAAATCTGATTTGGGATACTTCGTGTACTCAAACAGAATTATAATAGAGAGCGTTGTAGTGTAACAGTGACGATGTGCGAGCCACAAACTTGTAGCGTGGTATGAGTACGTAAGGTATATACTGAAGTGGGTGCGGTGTGTGCAGACTTCACGTACCAGGAGGCGTTCCTGTCGACGTACCGCACGTGGGTGTCGCCGGGCGGGCTGCTGGCGCGCCTCGTGCGCCGCGCGCACCACTTCCGCGCGCGCCCGCACGACCTGCGCTCCACGCTCTGTCTGCTCACGCGCGTCGTCGCAGACCTCACGTCAGTACCGCACTCGTATATTTCTACTATCTACTCTGTTATAAGAAGTTTCTGTTTACATTTCGTTCAGTATTTTTTTGTACCACAATTAATGTAATTATTTCTGTGACGTCAATAAACATAAAATAATGAGAAAAAGCAATGTGCGAAGTTGCGAAGCCCTACTACCACAACATCTAGCCATCGTTCGTATGTAATGTAATATGACTGATGCCGATACGGAGCCGCGGAGAACGTAAAAGGCTGCCGGGCTCTGGCTCGAAGTGCCGGAGTAGGAACGGGGGTGTTTTTAGTCAGTAAGAGTCCGATTCTTCCTCCCGCCTCATCCAGGCGGGAGAAAGCATTCTATGATTTCCCCCTTTAAAAAGAAGTTATTATTTTATGTCAATAAAATATGTTTTATTACAGGATGTCGGATTTGGATTGTTCACTAATGCAAGAGATTAAAGAGTTCATTTATTGGCTGGTGGATGCTGAAGAGTTGATCATAGCGAAGGCTCTTAGACAAATTCTAGTTGACAAGCAGAAACAACTACACTTCCAACAGGTAAGCTGAGTCTTTGTTGTTAGTTATATATTTGACAAATAGATCATTTAATTTATATAATTGTATTTTTTACATTTCAGACGAACAGCAGATACGAATACGATACACCGTGCTATGGCAGTGTATCGACGCGTCGGGATACACTCCTAGACTTCAAGGCATCGGACTTGGCCGAACAGATGACATTGTTAGATGCCGCACTATTTATTCGTCTTACTACAGCTGAAGTGCTGTTGTGGCCGCGCGACCAGTCAGAAGAAAGTTCGCCTAACCTTACGCGCTTCACAGAACATTTTAACAAAATGAGTTACTGGGCGCGTTCTAGGATTTTGGAACAGGTTAGTATTTAACAAGTTATCTGAATCATAAAATTCAGTTTCAAATTAAAATATTTATAGTAATTAACGGAGCAATTAAATAACAGGAGGAGGCCCGAGAGCGAGAAAAATATGCGAGCAAGTTCCTGAAGGTGATGAAGGCACTCCGTAAGATGAACAACTTTAACTCGTACCTGGCGCTGGTGTCGGCGCTGGACTCTCCGCCCGTGCGGCGCCTGGGCTGGCCGAGCTCCATCGTGAACACGCTGCACGAGTGCTGCCTCATCATCGACTCGTCCTCCTCCTTCCGCACCTACCGCCAGGCACTCGCAGACACGCAGCCACCCTGTATACCATACATGTACGTGCATTTATCTCTGTTTTTAACAAATTGTTAACTTCACTACGACATTATGGCATTCATTAGGGCTGAAATGTGTATATTGTAAGTTATTATAAAATAGGGAAAGATTATTTGTTTATCAATCAACATTCAGTAGTAAAAGTACAAATATTTTTATATTGTTCACAGTGGTCTAGTCCTTCAAGATCTGACTTTCGTACACATCGGTAATCCTGATCACCTACCTGAAGGTGGCATCAATTTCACCAAGAGATGGCAGCAGTACCAAATAATGGAGAACATGAAGAGATTCCACAAAGAGTGCGTAACATCCCTATATTTTTGTTATAGTTAACTTGTTTTAAAATTGTAAACTATGACTTCAATACAGAGTTTCAATGTGAAAATAGTTTGAATAAATTAAGCGAAAATGTTTCATTTGATTACAAGAAAAATAATGTTAATTTCGGTAGCAGGCAGTATAAGTTTAAGAAGAACGAACGCATTCTGGCCATGTTCAACGAGTTCGACGATGTGCTGAGCGAGGAGGCGATGTGGCAAGTGTCGGAGAGTATCAAGCCGCGCGGCGGACGCAACCGCGCCCCGCCCGCGCACCACCACGCCGCGCACGCGCAGACCGCGGCCTGACTGCTGGCCAAGCGACCGCCTCCGCAGTCAGTATTGAACTCTCATTTACCTAACAACGTTACACCTTTATTCTTTCGCTCCTCTATACCAACGCTAAAAGATTCCTTTTTATTTTGCAGGTAAATGTTAAATCCAAAGAATATGAAGATGCAGAAGGATGAGAATCGCTTGAATGTCGAGGAGATATATTAATTTAGAGAAATTGTGATTATCTGTCCTAAAAAGGCCTAATTAATATTAGTATATTTATTAATTGTGCGATTTTCTCGACTGTGATTGAATCGAGTGCGAATGTGATGCGTGGAAAGGTTGATGCGATGACGTTGAGAGGTTTGCGCGCTTACGATTTCAACGCTTTTCATGTGCAACAAATGATAATAATCGAGTAAATATTATTTCTATCAGTATTTAAATCGAATAACTGTCGTCTATTACATATCAGCATGTGACTTGCATAGTGTACTAAAAATGAAACGAGCGACGCCTTGGGTGTTGTAAAGTCCTTGAACCATCTCGTTGTTGTATTTGCCATTGATGTCATTATATACATTATTGAGTAAGCCAGCTTCGGAAGTTAGCTTTCTATACATCGAATTAGAGGAAACTTTTTGAAGTCTTAGGAATATTAGAAGTACTACTGTTTGATAATAGTGACTTAGTCGATATTAAGCATTTCGATTGTATTGATATTTAAAGTCATTTATTGTTCACAGTGTTCGGATAACATGATAACGCGTAAGCATCAAAAGGAAATGGGACAGTTCGACATAATGTAGTAGACAGTTTACGTGCACTTTCCGTACTAAGTTTTTATAAGGGGCTTCCGTAAAAAGAGTGAGAAATGAAATCCATTACTACCATTCAATAAGTTTTAAAATAGTAACTATATTTTTGTACATTACATGTATTACCCCCAAAATAACAAGGCGTATAACAAACATATCATTTTTAAATGTGTGCCAAACTTGAAACCATAGAAATGTCCCATTTCTCTACTTAGTGTGAGTAATTACTTTGTAAGTACCTATGCGAAAAGACGTATCCTGAAACATACAGAAATGCTGTAATGGTACAAAAGTGCAAGAAAGACTAATAAAGAATAAATATATTGGATTGCTTGAAACACGAGCATGTATTGAGATTCACATGTTAAACGAATATCAATGTCTTGCAACTAAGTCATAATTCACCGTCAATGGAAGATACTACCTTATATGAGTCTCTTAGAATTTTGAACATATTGAGATACTAAAATAATACTTAATTTCAATCGTCTAATGTTAAGTAGTCCATATACTAATGAGACCGATCTCTTATATTTTTGTGAAAAATAAACGCGTAGACAGATCTAACGCGACAATGCCATTTCATTCTTGTTGAAAGTATAATTGAATGCAATATTTTTGTGTATGCTCCTAAAGTATTCATATGAATTTGAAGCATATTTTATTTTTGATATTCAAAAACTTTTTCCTATAGGTTGCTACCTGCAAGGAAGCTAACGAATTAAATACTTTTGAGATGTATACTTATTTACATTATTCTTCAGCGTTTGCGTAATTGTACGGTAATATGTATAAGATTTAGATACAACGCTGCTAGCTATGGAGCTACGAGTAGCTAGAAACATTAATCTTTGGAAAAATATTTAAATTCACTTGATAATCTCATGTTCACAAGTAATCGCATTTTTAAAATTATGGTAGGACAAATTTGAATAGTGTAATAATTATAATCAACGTTTCATTTGCCTTAAGACAATCGAGTCTTCAGTGAAATAGCAATAAAGTTAATTGTTGTTAGAATTGCTGCACAATTTGTGATACTAATCATGTAGAGTGCCGCTTACTTACTACTCAGTCTTATTGACGTCCTGTACGTGTAGGCAATTGTATTAGAAGAATATTAGTAGTAAGCGTAATAAACCCCAATATGATAGTGTTGCTGACGTGTGCACGTGGTTGTTACTTACGTTCACGATTGTTGCCGAGCTGCCTCGTTTGTTGCAACTTGCGATTTTACGCGCAATATGTTTAATCGTGCTATAGTTAACAAGTGTCAGTGTTACAATAGGGAAGAAATTAAACAAGCAATACCAATTTTAATACAGATTAAGAATAAATGTTTTTGCATCGATCAGGTAGTTCGTATATTCAAAAGGAACGGTATCGTTCCATGCAATAATAACTAGACCAATATTTAGAATGTTTTACAGTGCTTTACAGAATTATGTGCTGATATTGTATTTTGTATGTAAAATATTTTGATTGATAGTTAAGTTAGTAGGGTACGTAAGTACGTTACCATTCTTTATCTGGTATTATTATTTATTTAGTGTATTATGAATTTATTGAATACGAATCGATTAACGGATATAATTATTATCTAAAGTATATTAAAGACTGCCTAAATTAATTATTCACTGTATTTGATGTGTAAATTAGAGAAATATTTTAAAATGTCCCATTATCACCAAAGGATATCTTATAACAGTGGACTTGCATCAAAGTTGATTGATCCATAAATGACTGATAAACAAAGCCACTCTATATAACAATGGATAGGTTTGTTATTTATCTATCTATCTATGAAAATCATTTGACTTTGATGCAATCACTTAGTGTGAGATTTCTAATCGTAAAGCAATGTAGCCTTGACTTAATTTTACAATACACAATGATAATTTGTCACAATGTTCATATTTATTGCCTACATACATTAGTAGCATATTCATAAGAAGTATAAAGATCACATATATAGTGAACAGCGTACATATTTTTGTTGTATTAGCAAGTTCAGTATTACGTTAAATTAAACAATTGCCATAATCTTATGAATTGAATTAATATTAGTATTTTTTGGGACCGTTTTTTTAAGTTCAGTTCTTACTTTAAGTAGTTTTTTTTATTTTATATTATTATCCAATATTGTACATTTATGAGTTAGTTGGTTTTAAAAGAATCAGAACCGCAGGTGTGTACAGTAAAATTTTGTGTGTCAAGTTCTTTTTGTAACTATTTTGTAAAATAAATATAGCACTTTATTTACAACAGTTGTAGTTTTTCTTTTCAAACTATAATACGTTTATTTGTTCCTATGTCGTGACACATGACACCCAGGCCCGGAACAACAATCTGTGGATCACATAAAGAGTTGATCCGTCCGGGAATAGAACCCGTTAGTGACACGTTGCGCGGCAGTCGGTGGCCCAGCCACCGCGCCAACCGTGCAGTTATTATCCTTAAGGATTGATTAATGAGGGACTATGATAAGGGATAGCCACATCCACGGCACAGAATATCACAGAAGCATGGTTTAATTGTACGGTTGGCGCAATAACTGCGCAACCGGCTGCTATGCAACGTGTATCGAGTTCGGTTCCCGCACTGAACAATACTCGTATGTGTTATGCACAAATCTTTGTTACGGGTCTGTGTGACGTGTGTGTTTGAAATATTATGTTTGGTTTGTAAACGCAACCACGACAAAGGAGAAAATCCTTAAAAAGTGAATACCAGCACGGTCTCATGTAAAAGTACTCATATGTCGACATGACCGAACTCAACGCTATAGTTTGTGTGCTCGATTACGTTAACCTTTTGACCGCCGATGTCACATATAAGTGACAAGTGAAAACTGTCCCTGGACGCCAATGACACAAATACATGACAGAAAAAGCGGAACCGGAAACACGAAATCAACAATTTGATTCCCTATTGGAATCCCTATTTCTTCTGTAGAAATTTGCGCGGAATTTGTGGCTTGGCGTTGAGGGCAGGTTCATGTGTTTTTGCTCTGGCGTTCAAAAGGTTGTAGCGTGATATTTGCTCAATCCCTGTTCTGTCAAAAACTTAATGTCCAACGAGGAAATTATCTACAGGACAATAACAGTACCTACCTCATAAGCACTGCGTGGTAAGCACAAAATTGAAAACCTCCTCCTTTTATTGGAAGTGGGTTAAAAATACTAACTTCCCGGCATTACAGTTCCCGTGGGAATTTATGAAATTATCTCTTAGTTTCCTTTTCACTCCCCAGAATTATAAATTTTATTTTTATTAGCCACAATTTAACTAAGTGGGTACCTATGTAGGTAATCAATGAAATGCATGTCCTGATGAGAGCGCGCCAGGGTTCTTCAAAGATAACATGAGTGGCGAAATAAAAACCACTCTATTTCGTAAGTAAACGAGTTAAAAGATAACCCTGACTATCTAATTAGGTGATCGATTGTGATGTCCCGTTGTTAAGGTACAAGTAGGAGCACTACTCATTTAAAAAGGCGAGGAGAAATGTTACGATGTTCAGTTCGTGAGTGTTTCATATAAGTGCCGCAGTCGAAATGTTACCGAGTAGTCTTAAAATGGTACAGTTTCATACGATACTTGTAGTTCTAAGTATAATTATAGTTATTTCCATAGCTGCACCGATATTCGAAAATGAGGACTCCGAAAACGAGGGTAAATATAAAATATGGAATAATTACATATTACCTATCTACATTTTAAAATAATAATCCCTTATTTCACCAATGCCAAATAACCATCAATCTGTATGTAAGAGTCTACATACCTTGTATTTATTGGGACGAATTTCTGATGTAAGTAATTCTTTGTGTTGAAGCACAGTTCTGGTGTTTCGCCCTTTTCCTGCTGAGCAGAAATACCTAGCACCCATATTAATCAGTTTCGCTTAGGTACTTGCGTCAATTTAAAAAGTCACGCATCATTAGACACATTTATTTAACTGTTGATAACAAGCCCAGTAAAATTTTTAATCTATTTCTAATATTAAAATTTTCTCTTACGTGGTACCACCTATATAAGTACCTATTTAATAAATGTTTTCCTATTAAAGAACTAACACTTGTAGGCACCTACAAGACCGATGCTGAACTGATCACTTAACATTAAAATATTGATAAATAATACCTACTGACAATGAATAAGTTTTTAAAACGCTTTAAAATCAAAATTAAGTTCGTAATTATCACGGAGGTACCAATAATACCAATCTACATCAAAAAATGCATAACTATTTTAACGCACATCTAAGTAGGTACCTACCTATATGTACACAATTAAGATAATACATGCTATGCACTTTTACAACTTTAGGTGAATATGGAGAGTATTTCGAGGGTGATATGTTGCTGTCAAAGGCCCAACGAGAAGCCATATTGCAAGCAACAGACGGTAACGGTCGCAATGGTCTACGGAATGTAGCTAAACGCTGGCCGAACCGTACCGTCGTGTACCACATCAACGAGGAAGACTTTGGTTTGTATTGTGTATCCTAACTTCCTGTTAGCTATCTAGTTTAGTAATTCTTCAAAATATCACTATGACAGTTACACAGTGGGTAACAACTCCGTTACTCACAACTGCTGATGCGAATGTTAAGTGGTTAACGTTGCAATGACACTGATCACGTAGTAGATACATAGGTACCGGCTTACAAAAACAATGACTATATATAATAGTATAGTATAGGTATAGACCTATATCAATAAAATGAAGAGTATGAGGCATTTCTACTGTTTCCTAGGTACCTATATGTTATCTAAATTAAAATTAAGGATTTATACCACTAATGTACTAACTTCTCATAGCGATGGAGTGTGTGCATCGAGTGTGGTTTACAGTGTGGTACAGTCATCGGAATAAATGTCACTTCGGTTGTCAGAAGATATAATTATATGGGCAATATGTATCGTTAACAGTAGTTATATGAGGCGGGTATTTCCTACGGATGATCACTCTGAAAAGAAACACAATTCAGAGGCCACAGTCCCTTTTAAAGTGCACAAAAACAAACTCAGAAGTCACAATTCCCTTTATAGTGCACGCAAGATTTAATGAAGCACATTAAAGATTAATTAGTTAAGGTACCTAACTGTAATAATCTAAAACTTAATAATAAAATCACAAATTATAATTATAGTACAAACGCACATCGGTTTCAATATTTACACAATAATCTTACAAGATGCAATAATTACAACAACACACAAATAATGTGCAACTAATAAATTGATAGACAAACATATTCTTTGTTCTACGTCCGTATAGTGGAAACGCCTACACCCGATTAGCGTATTGATTGCCTGAACAATATTATAGCTACAGCATAAGGCATCGCGTCGCGCAATTTCACACATGCAATATACCTGCAGTCCAAGACTGTATCAAAGTGTATCACACAGTTCTGTTGGGAACAGAGTGCTTATTTGAATCCGTATCCGTACTAGGATGTTGAAAAAGGTGGACATAATGTCACTGAGATATGTTTGCAGCACCAAAATGTTAGGGGGATATTTATGTGTGCGTGTGTGATCGGTTATCACGTTACCAGAGTTACGAAAATGACAGATGCCCTACGTGTCAATGTGTGTATGTTCCGCGTGTAAGTCTATAGTAACCAGGTGCCGCAGTCGATAATTCAAGATGCTGAATCCGCCTTTTTCAACTCAACGTCCTTGCATCTGTAGATAGACTGAATCCATAGTGAATGAAAGACCCGTGTAAGCTCTCAGGAAAGGAAATACGACAGAGTCATATCTTCAACTGCCGTCTACATATTTTTGTCTTTATTTATAGTGCGTCTCCTACGTATATGTTGTCATGTCTGTATATTGTCATATTACGTCTCTTCTACTTTTCCTCAATACTAGTTTAAATTGCAAGTTGTAAAAAAACTCCAATCTTTTAATATTTATCGCAACTGCTTGGAGTTACCTTGAACTCAGCACGAATTCTTAGGGGCAAGTTCATGGCAATTGTAGTAACAACAAGTATCTACTTAGGCACCTATTCAATAGTTTCAACATAACTTTTTGTCCATAATGACGTGTTGGTTCAGAGTTCAAACTGTAAGATTTCACTTACCTTGTTCTCTACCTACAACTGGGTAAACAGTATGTTAAATTAGCTTACATTTCTCGATTTTCTGAAACTTATAATTATTTTTATTATTCTCTGCCACAGATGAAGAACATGTGCAAAAAATTGAAGATGCTCTAGCTGACATAGCGAATCATTCGTGTATCTCATTCCGACCTAGAGAAAAGGAGGACGAACATGCAGTGATTATACAAGTAAACATCTTTCTTTATTAATATTTAGAGACCTTGCTATTTTAACATATGATATAATGTAAGTACATACTGTTATAAATTACCTGGTTTCGATACTGCCCCGGCGGTACCGAATAGTGTACAGCTGCTAGTACTGGTACTAGTATACATACTAGTCGCGGAGAACCTAACAGGTTACCGGGGCTCCGGCTCGAAGTGCAGGAGAAGGAACGGGGTGGTTTTTAGTCAGTAAGAGTCTGACACTCCCTCTCGCCTCACCCAGCCCCCCTTAAAAAAAAGTATAGGTACATACTAAACTCTACACAATGATGGTCAAGTTACGTTTTGCAGTAAATTTGTTTCATTGTACCTACAAATAGACCGATACCTGATGTAAAATGAAAATAAACTAGTGAAAACAAGACTTAAAGACGATTTTTTATGAGTATTTACTAAACTCCTTTTACTTTTTTACTTTTTTACGTTTTAGGGTACAAAAGGTGGATGTTTTTCAAGCGTGGGCTTTAGCACCCCTAACGACGAAGGCGAAATTCGTCAAGTACTGAACCTAGCCAAGGGTTGCTTCAAACACGGTACTGTGGTACACGAGATGCTGCATACTATTGGATTCTATCACATGCAAAGTACTTATGATAGAGACGATTTTGTGACTATTCTATGGGAAAATATAAAACCTGGTGAGTTGTTGGGTCGTAAAATTATACTAAAAAATACAAGATTGATGTTAATCGCTACCTAAAAGTAATTCAAACGTTTCTTAGAAAAAAAATTAGGTAAGTATTTATTTCATTCAATAAACCATACAATTCGAGTAATGTTGTAATTTATTATGCTTACAGGTCACGAACACAATTTCGCAAAATACAGCAATGACACTGTGACTGACTTTGGAGTCCCTTATGATTACAACAGTGTAATGCACTACACGGAGAAAGCATTCTCTGTGAATGGCAACAACACCATTGTCCCATTAAAGGTAAGATTACATTCCCCCCATCAGATCGATTAAAGTCTATTTTATACGGAAAACTAATATACTATGTTCGTCAGGCATTGTGTTTATTATTGTCAGGTACATAAATACATACATAACTTCACGCTTGTCTCCCATGGGGGTAGGCAGAGACTATGGAACGCCAATTACTACGATTCCTAAGTTCCTTTCTTTCGCTTCATCAACAGTCATCAATCTTTTCATGCATGCATATTATCATGTCATTAATAATTACCTACTCAATACATGTCATTTAGATAATGTCTATTTTATTATCTTCGTTACGCTTGAATATGAGTTCTGGGATTACCGAAATACCTACATTAACACAAGATATCGTTTCTTAATAAAATTATGTATTAATTATGGACTTTTGTAAATTACAGGAAAATGTTACTATTGGCCAGAGGATGGGATTATCAGAAAGCGATATATTGAAACTAAACAAAATGTATTGTGAAGAAAACGACGAAAATGAAGTTATGTTGATTGAGAATATCGACGAGATAGCGTTTTCATGTGAATGACAAATAAATTAATAGTTGTACTAAAACTCAAACCAGATCTTAAATGTTAAATGTGAAATTAAATGTGTGATTACATAAATATATCTAACTATTTATTTGTTGATATAGGACTACTACATTACTACCGGAGGCCCAACCAAAAATCCCATCTCACTTATTAACCCCTAAATCTGGGGGAAAACCCCTAACCGTTGGGAACCGTGTCTACAAAAGATCTCCCATTATCTCTATGTTCGGCAAGCAGTATCATTATCAAATCATCAAAGTCTATTCGATGAAGGTCGGTTGCACTGTTGCACTGTATAGTTGATTTTGTCTCAAGGGTTCCAATAAGTTATAAATAACACTATCTATGACAGTTTATAGATACTATAACTATTTATATCTTGAGTTTAAATTGCTCTATTTATTGGATATCCATTAAGTCATAGAATAGTACCGGTTTACATTTCAATCTTACGTCGTCGACTTGGTGATCGATTTTGATATCCTTTGTTAGGGCATCACTCGTTAAAACGCGTAGAGAAATGTTACAATGTTTTCAGTGTGTGAGTGCTTCAAATAAGTGGACAGTCGAAATGTTACCAATTAGTTTAAAGATGGTAAAGTTCCATATAAGACTTGTAGTTCTAAGTTCAATCATAGTTTTTTCCATTTCTACTGCTTCACCGATATACGACAGCGTGGACTCCGAAAAGGACGGTAAATATAAATGATGACCAAGTACTTTTAAGATTTCGAGGAGCAGTTCCATATTCTGAAACTTGTAGTTTTTTTAACATTAGTATTTTCTCTGTGTCGTGAGTGCGTTTACAAACATACAAGTTCACATACATATGACACCCAGACCCGGAACAACAACCTGTGGATCAGTTGCCCAACTACGTGCAGTCTATCCTGATGTTCTGCAGTCAGAAATCAGAAATCAGAAATAATTTATTATCCAAAAATGTAGGTAACAAATATGTTGTTTTATAGCTTATGGAGAATCCCAGTACATTTTGCCTTACGGCATGCAAAATTATTGAATTAGTTAAATAAAATTATTAAATACACTTTTAAATTTAAACAAAACAAAATTAATTAATAACTATCAAATCATTCACAGATAGAATAGAACATCAGAAATTTAGATTAACAGAAACTTTCATCATCAAAAAAATCCTTAAGCGAGTAGTAACACTTGTCTAATAATAACTTTGTCAGCTGCTTTTTAAATACTGTAATGGGTAATCTATTATATATGAGAGGTGATACCCAGTTCAGTTCTGAGTATAATCTGAATTATTTTCATTTTTACAGCTGCACCGATATACGACAATGTGGACTTCGAAACGGACGGTAAGTCAGTAAATCTATACACACAATAATAACAGTAAAAAAGTGTGTCTGTACATTCTACATCAAAAAAACTTAGAGCAATAGAGTAACAGTAATAGAGTAGGTACATATATTATGTACGAGTGTATGTATATAATACTATGTAGATATATATATATATATTTACATCCCGCTATCGATTGGACGTCCCATGAAGGCGAAAGTGCATTTAATCTGGCGTCCACCTGCTTGTGGCGTCCGCATACCGGACGCCACTTTTTTGGCCTATGCTACTTAGGTCCTTTTGGTCCTGGCTGCACGTAGGTTAAAAATCGACAGAGGCCAAAAGATCGGTTCAATGGCTGTTATAGTATTTTGAAAAGTTCCCAAAGAAATCTCAGCGCAGATAGAGCGCTGCTGTAGCGCGTATATCCACAGCTGTATATTTTTGGGATTTTCTGATTATAAGTCCGCGTATTTGGCGTCCTCAAAAAAATAACAGCGACGTTGCCAGTTCGCTCATTAAATCCGTGGAAATAGTTCATAATATTATTTACGGCATTCAAAACAATATTCATCGTCGTACATTTCGGATGTGTTGCGTATTATTTGGAGTCCGATTTTATTATAATCATGTGATTGCAACTTACGACAACTTATCTGCAACCCTGTTCTCAATTTGTAAATGAGTACCTATCAGTGATATATTATAATAGATGAGGGTATAAATTAATTCCTTAAAGGGATCTTAGAAATAAGTACTAAAGTGACAAAATTATATGTCTTACCACAAAAAAGGTTAACCAGAGTTTAACTCGTATTAAATGTGTATTTAGATAGTATAGTCTCCGTATAAATTTTGACGTAATTTTATTAACTTTATCTATTTATGTGGTTAGAAGATGCATCTAACACTGAATAATTAATTAATGTTGTATTACTGATCAAATCAATCAACGTTTGTCTTCTTATTTCTAGCCTTGGCGTGTTATAAAGATCCAATTAGGAATTATAAATGTTTTTGATTACAAAACATAAACACTTCATTAAAAGTGATATCCATATTTAACATAACATAACATCACGCCTTTTTCCCCGAAGGAGTAAGCAGAGATGCACATTACGGCACTTAATGCCACTGTACAATGTAATATCCACAGTTTTACTATTTATGTTATGAGTCCCATGTAATAGAGGGTGAGTTTATTGCCATATACCGGGCACACTTCCAGACTCTTGAAAAAACCAGTAATACTTTGCCCAACCCGGAATGGAACCCGAGACTCTTTGCCAGGCGATCGCACTTGCGACCACTCGGCCAACGAGGCACTAAAATGATATCCATATTCTTTGTTTTTATTTGCTTACTTAGAATTGGTAACTTCATATCAATAAGCTGCCAATTAAATATTTGATACAATTAGAGCTGGTTTCAAAGCTAGGGGATATGGGCAGCGAGGCTGAAGCGCGGGCTTCAACAATAGAGGCATCAGGCAACAATCCAATAGAGGAGTTAATCGAGTGGGCACAACTAGAAGTATTAAATTAGGAATCTTGCCTTAAATGAAACTGAAATTCAATACAATATTTGCGCACAAAGATCAGATTAGGTGCGGTTTTCAGTTACTTAAGGTTTAGATTAAAATAAAAGTGTATCTCATAGATCATAATTTCTAGCGATAAAGTCCACTACTGAGACCTCTACCTCTATGACAGTCGCGTCGCAATAAAACGATGCTAGAGCTCTCATCATCTCCAAGCGCGAGGCATTTCAGCAGCGCTGCCCAATCCTCTAGCTCTGAAACCAGCCTAAATGAAAGAAGTTTTGAACATATATACTTAATAAAACCATTCTAGTAATAAGATATATTCTTATTATCTTTACTAATTACGGACGCCCAATAGCTATATACGGACGCCCAATAGCTATATACGGACGTTCAATAGCTATATACGGACGCCCAATAGCTATATACGAACGTTCAACAGCAATATACTGACGATCAATAGCTAGGTGATCTAACATGATACCTTTTTTTTAGGGATAAAAAATCATCCAATGCCTTTTGCCACCGGCCGCCGGCGGCTGCACTGGTGAGGCAAGTGGAAGTTTCAGAGGAAGTTTCTCTTACTGACTTTTTTTTAAGCGGGGAAAATCATCGATTGACTGCTCCCGCCTGGGTAAGGCGGGAGGGAGTGTCACTCTTACTGACTAAAAACCACCCCGTTCCTTCTCCTGCACGTCCAGCCGGAGCCCCGGTTACCCGTTAGGTTCTCCGCGACTCCGACTCGGCATCGGCCCTGTTGGGCCCCATCTGTGGTGGTTTTATGGCTCTTTGAGGCGCGCGCGGAACGCGACGCGCCGCACGTTCAGGTCTGTTTCTGGTCGGACGGGGCCACCCATGCTCGCCGTCCGCAGGCCCGCGCTTACGGTGGCCGGAGATCGTCCCGCGATCCCCGACGCCCGGTGTGTCCTACGCGATGGCTGGGTTGCGAGGAGGCAGCGCTTCGCTGCCTCATGCGTCCGCCTCCTCCTTAGCTAGCATGACTGCTTCGCAAAAGGAGGAGACGGCATCCCAGTCCCCCTCGCTCCGCATCATGGCCTGCACTAGGCCCGGACGCGAGAGGTCGCCATCGCCGATCACTTCCCTAGGTACGGCGGTGCTCAGCCCACGCAATGCATTCCGCTATAGTGTGTTCCACCGTGTCCTCAGGGCGGTCCTCACAGTGATGACACCCGGACGTTTCCTCCCGCCCCATCAGACACAGGTACCTTCCGACTCTTACTGACTTAAAACCACCCCGTTCCTATTCCTGCACTTCGAGTCGGAGCCCGGTCACCCTTTAAGTCCTCTGTGCTCCGTATGGGCATCAGCTCATCCGTGGTGGTCTGATGGCTCCTTGGGGCGTATGCGGAACGCGACGCGCCGTACGTTCGGGTCTGGTTCTGATCGGGCGGCAAGTCATCCGTGCTCGCCGACCGCAGGCCCGTGCTTACGGTGGACGGAGACCGTTTCGCGATCCCCGACGCCTGGAGTGTCTCTCGTGACGGCTGGAGCGTGAGGAGGCTCGTTCCCTCACGAGCTCCGCCTCCTCCTTAGCTAGCAGGACTGCTTCGCAGAAGGAGGAGACGGCATCCCTGTCCCTCACTCTGTACCATGGTCTGAACCAGTGTCGGACGCGAGAGGTCGCCGTCGCCGATCACATTCCTGAGGACACGATGGTGTTCAGCCCACGCAGGGCACACTGCCACCGTATGCTCCACCGTGTCCCCCGGGTGGCCCTCGCCTCGCGTTTCCTCCCGCCCAATCCGAAGCAGGAACCTACCGAAAATTCCGTGTCCGGTAAGCACCTGCGTCAGGCGGTAGATAAGGACGCCGTAGCGTCTCTGTCTCTCAAGCCACTCCTCAAATCTAACATGACACCTTCTGAGGAAGTACGTGGATGTTGAATAGCTATATACGGACGCCCAATAGCTATATACGGACGCCCAATAGCTATATACGGACACCCAATAGCTATATACGGACGTTCGATAGCTAAGTGATCTTACATGATACCTGCTGAGGAAGAAACTTTCTTCGCGCGCATGGCCATCATCAGGCTCGCAAGAGACCCCTGCCATTACCATGTCAATTGTCAGGATCCGCAATCAACGGACCTCCCATTTCCGTGTGTGAGCAGTATAGTGATGTAGTTTTTTACTTGATGACCATAGCGTTTGGGTCAACTGAAATTTGCATGACCATTTTTGAATTCCTAACGTAGCCCAGTAGATGGTGCTAGTCCAGCAGTGGACTTAAATAGGCTGATGATGATTAATAACTATATACGGACGCCCAATACTAGATGATCTTTCACAGTTATAGATGATCTTACATGATGACCGCTGGGAAGAAACTTTCACTTATTTTACTCTTCTTGCTTTGAAATAAAAATTGAGTTCTGAGTTTCTTTCTTTAGATAAATTTGTAAAACCGGTACGCCGCGCCGATCACATACGGGCTGAACCGATTTGTATTTATGTATGGAATAGACTAGGCAAACATTTAAAAAATATGTTATTCCTACTGCGGCATCTTCTCATGTAAAAATCTCATAGAAACCTCATTTTTTTTGCATCTTGTTACCAATATTATACCAATATCGGGCATTAGTATATGTATTGATAGATTTTACGAATATTGTAATACTGTTAAAACTCTCCCAGACGAGTGACAAGAGAGAGGAAAAGAAAGAGACAAGTGAACCAAAGCTGGCAACGTTGCACTCGCAAATACCATCCACGCTGTGGGACGTTAATTAGCCGAAGCCATGGTTAAATCACGATCAATATATCTAGGAGCCCAATTAGTTATCACGATGGTTTGGGGTTCAAAAATGTTGCAGCATGACTGCAAGAAGAATATCGCGAAAAATAAAATTATCGGAAAATGACGTATCCTACAAAGCTGGAAATCGAATAACTAAGCAATATTCATCAAGACATATTAAAAATATTAAGGGGAACTGGGGGACGTCGTAATGATGCGCGACATGTGTGACGCCAAAATGATTCCAGGATGTAAATATATATAGATATAAGATATAGATACTGTATATAATACCTACATATGTCAGTCATCACCATTCTATCCGTTATGTAGATGATGTAGGAGAATATGGAAAATATTTCGAGGGAGACATGGTGCTGTCGGTCTCTCAACAACAAGCATTAGAGAATAGTTACGCTCGCAATGGTCTAGTCGACGAAGATCAACGCTGGCCGAACCACACCGTCGTGTATCACATCAACGAGGAAGACTTTGGTATGTAACCTATACTTAACTTTTTGTATGTCTTTTACGTATTTTTTTTTTTTAATAAGTTTTTTATTGAATAAGATTTGGTCACCGTCTAGCCGGGTTACTAAGTTTAGTTATTCTAATTCTACCATGTCTGCAAGCAGCAGGGAGCAAGCATTCGATGATGTTCCCCCCTTAAAAAAAGTACCTATGTTATTAGTCCCGATTTTAAATTTCTAAGAAAATAATACTTTTTAATAATGTTATTCTCTGCTACAGATGAAGAACAAATATCTAAAATTATGAATGCTATGGCTGAAATAGCGAATCATTCGTGTTTAATATTCCGACCCAGAGCAAGCGAAGACGAACATGCAGTCGTTATAGAAGTAAATATCTTTCTTTAATACGTGCTATATTTAGGTATGTATGTACCCAATCAATACTTATAGTTCAGCTTTATTTCACAATATGAATCACACATATGCATTAAATGGCACTTCAAGTTGTACTAGTCTACAGAAGTATAACATTAAATAAGTAGGTACTTAAAGGAGACGAGAACAAATTCTGAGCTTACCCATTAGATTACCAGATGGGATGGGATGGGACCATCTAATAGGAGCGCTCTACACCAATATCAAGTTGCAAAGCAAAACAGAGGCATGGCTTATTGACCCTGGATAGATTGTCAATATCCAGAGCACCCTGAAACAGAATTTGATGAGCTTTGGCACAGTGAACCATGGGTATGAAACCTTTCAATAAAAAGTAGTCAGAGCTGTCGCGGACATGGAAGGAACTTCCGCCTCCACCTAACAAAAACATATAAATGTCCAGAGAATCCCGGAACAGAATTTGTTGAGCACAGTGAATCATGGGTATGATACCTTCCAAACAGAAGTAGTCTGAGGTTTGACGGACGCGGGTAGGTACAAGACCCATACATTTTTGCCCATGTTAATAACTGGGAAACCCCAACGCAGAATTTGATGAGCTTTGGCATAATAAACTGTGATGGCTTTCAATAGGAGACTATGGGGACTATCGGTAAAAGTTTGCAAGTCACTCATTCAAACTGTAGCGCCGTATCTGGCTGTGCTTTCAATAAAAGTATAGATGACGGTGTTTTCCCTGACCTAATGAAATATAGTAAAGTTATCTCACTATTTAAAAGTGGTGACACTAAAAAACCTAACAACTATAGGCCAGTGTCTGTTTTGCCGGTTCTCAGTAAAGTGTTTGAAAAGTTGATGCTGTCAGATGCTCCACCATTCATTGAAGAAAGACAGTTAACGGTATTAACTCTTAGGGCTCTGGGATGAATATGGGCGTACCTCGAGGTTCAGTATAGGGTCCCTTTCTCTTTTTTGTCTATATAAATGATTTGCCATTAATATTCAAGAATGAACAAAGAATGGTGCTTTTTGCAGATGATACATCATTAATTTTTAAAATAGATCGACGTGCAAATAATCTTTGCGACGTAAGCAGCTCCAATCTTCGAGTGCATAATTGGTTCACCGTTAATAATCTAGCACTTAATGAGAAAAAACCAAATGTATTAAATTTAGTTTACGAAACGTGTGTAGTATTGATTGAGATGTTGTTTTGAACGGGCAAAAGTTAGATTTTATACGATTATTTTTTTTGTTTTCTTTTTTTATTGTACGTTTTGTAATTTATATAATTAGTCAAGCGTGTCTTTGCATTGTTCTCACATATGCGTACAATATTGGAATATGTGTCAGAGACATTGAAGAATATACTTTTTTTAAAAAGAGCGTCGATTGGAGTTTCTTGCTCGTTCTTCTCCATTCGAATCTACATTTTGGAATGAGCACCTAGCTTCACTGACGGACTGACTGACAGAGACTATTATTTATTTTGTATTTGTTGACGTTTCAGTAGTCCCAAATTATGGTTTAATTAAAATAAATGTCTTATTTTTGACTTTGACTTTGTATATAAAGGACATGTAACAAACTTAGAGCTCAACCTAGCAAGAATATGGTAATATCCAGAGCACCCTGGAACAGAATTTGATGATCTTTGGCACAGTGAACCATGGGTATGATACCTTTCAAACTGGTGTAGCTAGTACTGTGGCGGACATGTGGATGCGTCGCCCATACATTTTTTTTTGCCTATCATCAAAGACGGCACAATTTTACTAAAATTGCAATAGAAATCTGTGCAAAGTGCAATTGAATTCGCGCGATGTTTATTGTAAATGATACTTATTGTATTACTGTGTAATGTAATAACTAAATGTAAACTTAATAAAATATGACGCGGTTGGAGCCTTAAAGTTGCCTTGTTTCTAGGGTTCAAATGATGGATGTTCTGCAGCTGTGGGATATGTACCACCTGGTGACGATCAGGAACAAACTATATCATTAGCCCGGGGTTGCTTCAGACACGGTTCCCTGGTACACGAGATGCTGCATACTCTTGGATTCCGTCACATGCAGAGTACTCATGATAGAGATGATTATGTAACTGTTGTATGGGACAATATACAACCTGGTGAGTGTGGTGAGCCTGAGAATGTGGGAACCCTTAAATTGTAGATACCTAGCAAAAACTACAAGATTTAATTGCTTTAATTACTTTCTGCAAGACGTTAAAACATTTTTTTTTGTATATTTTATTGTATTTTCTTCATTAAATTGTACATAAGTTTAAAGTGTTTTGATAATTTGAATATGCTTACAGAATACGCATATAATTTCTTAAAATACGGCAATGACTCTGTCACTAATTTGGGAGTACCGTATGATTACAACAGTGTAATGCACTACACGAGGAAAGCATATTCTTCTAATGGCAAAGATACTATTATCCCACTAAAGGTAAAAACTACACATTATGTCTACCTACCTCTTTCTCTTCAGATTACTTAAACGGTATTTCATTTGGAAATCTATTACACACACATATATTATTATCTACATATATGATATAGGGGAAAATCCCTTAACCGCTTGAATGCCCGTATAAAAGACACAATAGAAAATACATTAGTGTCTCGCGTGGATCCATGTTGACACACAATAGGTTAACGCCGGGCGGCACCTAACGCCGGACACTGGTATTATCTCGATAACTAATAACGTGATCGATTCAATTTTTAGGGGGAAGCCTCCCAGTGGCAGACACCTAAAGTTTTTAGTAAAAATTGCAACCCAGTGTTGTGTCCAGGATATTAAAGTATTATCGTACCAAATTTCATCGTAATGGGACCAGTAGTTTTTGCGTGATTGCGTGAAAGACAAAAAAAAATTCAATCATATTATTTTTGGGTTTGGTGTCTATCTAGTAAAACTCCTTAATATTTACTTTTTTATTATTTTCAATGTACAGAATTTACACTTGTTTTTATATATGTACTTAGTTTTATTATATGTACTTACACTTATATGTAAGGTCAAAAGTCCACTGCCACCGTAAGACTACTATCGGTTGCGCTTCAGCGCTTATAAATACATGCACACGCATATATTTATCTGTGTGCGTACGCGTGCGTGTGTTTATGCGTAGGCACGCGTTTTTATGCACATTAATATGAAATTACCTTACGCATTGCCGTGTGAACAGTACTCACGGTGGCAGTGGACCTTTGACTGTACATTCTTAAACTTAGATATATAGATTGTGTACGTGTTTCAGGCAATCCCACATTTCCGCCCAAATTACGGATTATTAGGATATCCTGGAATTTTCAACAAACTTTATGCTTGTGTCCGATACTGGTGGAAGAGAGTCAATACTTATTAAACTTATCAGGCCCGCACTTTTACAATTTACAGGAAAATGTGAATATTGGTCAAAGGGTTGGACTATCTCATGGCGACATAATGAAACTAAACAGAATGTATTGTCTAAAGAATAAAACTGACGACGAGGAAGATACTTACACTTAGTGTCGACGAGTCTGTAAGTGACAAATGAAATTAATCATAAATCCCAAATAAGAAATTTTTACGATGTAGTTAATTGTGAAGTGTGAAATAAAACGTGTTATTAAATAATTAAACGTTTCCATTTATTTGTTGATGTAGTGGAGATTAAAGTCATAGCACACTTAAGCGGCATGTCTCCGGCACGGCTCCAATCCTGGGTCATATTTTGCTGGGTCAAAAATAAATTATTTTGATTTTTTAATCCAATTAAATATTCAAAAATAATTACAATTTCATTCATATATTTGACGATACACTTAATGTTTGATTTATTTTAGCATTTTTTTTTCAGAAATAAGTGTGCTATTTGACTCGAAAATATGATGACGTCATAAGTCAGTTTTTGGTACAAAGTTCATAGTACAATATCGTTTTTAACGTTTCGATAAAAACATTGAATTTGATTAGTTGTAAAATACCGTATTAACTGGTCATTTCAATATAAATTTTAAATGGTATGTCGTATGATATATTTTATAACGTCAATATAATTATAAAAGCTGTCTGCAATCTTTTTGTATTGTTTTCAAAGTAAAAACCGCCGTGTCAGAGCTATGCCGGAGCTGTGCTTGTTAAGTGTGTTATGACATTTGGACGGTGCGAAGTACCGGCACTATCTAGTAATACATAGCATTCTCGATAGTTTCTTTACGGGAAAAGGCGGCGAACAAGCTGATTTAACTCAGTTCAGACTGAGTTTTTAATATACCCCATAATATATACACCAGGCGTCGGGGATCGCGAGACGATCTCCGGCCACCGTAAGCGCGGGCCTGCGGACGGCGAGCATGGGTGGCTCCCCGTCCGACCAGAAACAGACCCGAGCGTACGGCGCGTCGCGTTCCGCGCGCGCCTCAAAGAGCCATCAGACCACCACAGATGGGGCCCAATAGGGCCGATGCCGATTCGGAGTCGCGGAGAACCTAACGGGTAACCGGGGCTCCGGCTCGACGTGCAGGAGAAGGAACAGGGTGGTTTTTAGTCAGTAAGAGTCTGACACTCCCTTCCGCCTCACCCAGGCGGGAGCAGTCATTCGATGATTTTCCCCCTTAAAAAAAAAAACCCATAATATATATATATATATATATAGGTATGTATATATATATGTTTTTTGGTTTATAATATTATTCTGCATCAGTTTTTCCACATCCGATGGGCCAGTTCCACCGGTGTGATACCACGGCTTCACAAAAAACCGACGTGAAGCAACTCTTGTGTTGTGTTTCGTCGTGTGAGGGTACCGGAGGCTCAATCCTCCCCTATTTCCCCAATCTCCCCAATCCCTGAATCCCCAACAATCCTCAAATTCCTAATCCCCAAAAGGCCGGTAAAACACTTGTAACGCCTTTGGTGTTCCAGGCGTCCATGGGCGACGCCGATTGCTTACCATGCGGTGCTCCGCCTGCTCGTGTACCGGCTTATTCCATAAAAAATTGATGTATAAAAATTAAGAAGCACCACCTCTCTATCTATACATATTTAGTCATTGTCATTTGATGAGAATTTACCTGCTTTAACTAAAATCGCGGGTTACTCACGTGAATATACTGAGAAAAGCTCTACTAGTTTCGAACCACAGAGGGGTTCTTCCTCATGAGCAGCATGCGCGGTCGCGGCGATGTCGCGCAGCTCATACGTGAGTAACCCGCGATGTTAGTTAATTTAGTTTGTCTCACGATAGTTATTATAAAAATTTACCTGCTATTTTACAAAATTTTTACCAGTATTAATATTAATTGATGTTTTGACATCTGATAAAAACTTAAGCAACTCGATTCAAACCATAGTTTTTTATTTATTGATGTTTTTGTAGTTAGTTCGGGATTTTTTACTTAAACCAAAAATGTTGAATATCTCAGTTACTGGCCACTTTCAGAATAAGAACTTCAGGGCAAATTTATAGGAAATTAGTTATATTACCACCTCCCGAGAGGAATACGTTGAGTTACAAGTCATCCTGTATACAGTGTAGATGCAGATACGAGATAATCCCTACATTTTCAAACAGTTGAGGAATAGAAGATAAACGATAATAAATAATTATGCTGATGAACAGGCGTAATCAACTGCTCGGTTGTAGTTGAGCAATGTGAAGCTAGTTCGATTACCGCATTGATGGGCGGACATTACCTACATGATTTTACTATCGCAATAGAGCTATGTTTACTAGCTTATGAAACAACCTACCTATTATTATCTATACTGATAGGTGAGACTACATAACTAGGTATATAGAAAGGACTTTTTTAGATACCTACATTTCTCCTGCTTCGTCGCATTGTTAGCAGAAAGAGCGATAGGCTCTCTCGTTATCAGTCCTTTAAAAAACATAGCAAAAAATAAAAAGATACTTATACCACATATACTCAAATCTTGCGAAAAGCTTTTACATAATTTGAATTGGGATGTTTAATTGTAACAAAATGCAACAGACACTCTAAAATGCTAACTCTGTCGGCTAGCAAAGGACTGCTTTGACACGGTAGCGTAGTACACGTGGTACTTATATCTATCTATTCTTGGATTCCGTCACATACAAATTACTCATAATATGTGAAATTGCCTTTTTTGAGGGAGATAATCCCTAAATGTCTTCTCGCGCCATGTGACTAGGCGAGAGGGAGTGTCAAACTTCTACTACTCTCTCGCTACATAATTTATAGAAAATAATAAAATTATTGCATAGACACGTAAGTAGGCTTTTACGGACTTTATAAATAACAGGAAAATGTGACTATTGGTTAGAGAATAGGACTTTCTCATGGTGACATAAATTATTAAAACTAAACAAAATATCTTATAAAGAAACCGAAGATGAGGAAGTTCGGTTCTTTGATTGAGAATATTGACGAGAAAGTGTCTGTGATTTACAAATAAAGTTAGTAATAAACCTAAATAAGAAAATGTTACGTCGCAGTTAATTCTGAAGTGTGAAATAAAACGTATGATTACATAAAGTATCTATTTACTTGTTGATACCTACACTGCCTCGTAATAAATAGCACTTTTATTAATTTACCTATTGTATTCATAAAGTTAATAAAAACTAGTTTATAGAATTTGGCAATTTAGTACCTACACAAGAGTCACTTGCAAAATTTGACTAGATTTGACTCAAACAATAGGTTCTCTTACAACGCAACGTCGTTGTCGCCAGGCGTTCTATTGTAGATCAGTAAACAATGTAAAAGGAAATAATGAAAATAAGTAGAACTAGGTATAGAAGTTAAATCATAGTCATACAACGAAACTAATAGAATGGTCGCATTGTTGATTAAAGAGGTCTGTATTAGGAACAACACTATCGCGGACTGCCATCGTTAAGATAGGTTTTGATTGATGTCTAATAACATTAAAGCGTCTTAGTTATTTATCGTAATTACCTAGTAGTCATAGTCACGGTCAATTTTCTTTACGACATCGACCCCATTTTATACAAGGACAAAAATAAAACATCAGATATTTTTTGCATTCTTGAAATGATACGCGTTTTCATCTGGCAATGGCATTGAAGATTGCAGAATACTTTGCAAGAATGATAATAATACTTAGTTTTATTTCAATTGTATAATTTGTAATCTGTATCAACTAATAATGTTTATTGTTTTGCTTGGTTGAAATTGCCGTAATAGGAAAAACGCTGCGATTGGATAGATACCTAATAATTAATGTAATTTAAAAAAAAACCATGTCTAATGAACCAGTTAAGTGCAGCGAAACAGAACTGTGGCATTCTAGGACAAGTTTTCAAGTCGTCTTTTTCAAAAGGCTTTGTCAGTCTGGCTACTTTTTATCATCGTTTAATTTGTTTCAATTTAAGGGATTTAGGGTATGTAGATATGTACCTGGGACAAAGACCGGAATTGTCAACGATGTTTTGAATTAGAAGTGGGGATCCAGAATGGGTTAGGCGGGATAGTAATTTGATCGTTAGGTTCCATGAAAACATGAGATTTTACATTACTCCACTTTCATTGTATAAAAATATGATAGAATAGAATAGAATAGAGAGAAAAACTATGAAAGCTCACAGATTTTATTCTTTGCATATGTACATTTTCCTATTTACCATATGTGGAAACTGGCCGCTATTACAAATATTGGTACAACAAACACTTAGTTTAGTTTATACGATTTCATTTCTATACTTATTTCACCGGAACGGTCAGCTATTGCTTTCCCTTTACTATTTCGCCCATTCAATTACAAAAATGACAAGTTGGTGTTATTGTTGGAGGACGTAAACGTTAGAATAACTGGAGCCAGTAAATGTAGCAACTCGGTGTTGCACGAGTTATGGGTGGTGGCGTGGAGTGCAGTCGCTGTCACCAGCACCTGCGCTGACGCAAGCTTCGCCGCCGCCGCCACAGTTGCGGCCTAACACCTTGTGAAATGGTCGTATCCGAAGCTATATTAAACTTCGCCCCACCCCGGCGGGTTTTGTCCAACACAAAAAATCACGCGGCACTGGAGTACACCACCAGTGGAATAAATTCATTTGCATAAATAAGAAGAAAAAATGTTATTATAAAACTTAGAATACCGTTAATATGACACACTTCTTCCGATACGCCGAGTGAGTTGAGTTTTTAAAAAAGCGAAATCAATATCGCATGCATTTATGAATATTAAACGAAGTCAGACAAATATTTTGTAGTTATCATGGGACACACAAAGTTATCGGTGGTTCTATTAACTGTATTTGCTGTCAAGTGTTTGGCGATGACATATCATGAATTGGAGGATTTTGCGGAGTACCTTAAGAAGACGTCGCAGCTCAGCCCTACGTTAAAAAGTAAGTGATTTAAAGTTATACATTTTTTTTTATTATGTGAACAGTAAAGCTAAAGTAAAGTAAACCTTACGTGCAGCTTATGGACGTTACTAAGTCGTGTACTTAGATGTAAAGTGATGATTGACACGCGAATTAAGTTTGCCACTATATGCTTTTGGTAGGGGCGAAGTTTATTAAAATACTTAGTTCGTAAAAATGTATTTAAAATAACTAAGTATTGTTGACAGTTTTCATAAGAGTATCTATTTTTAAGAAAACTATTAAAATGAAGTTTAGTAGATATATCTACCCATAGGTAAGACATACAATTGAAAACGAAAGTGGCCAAAATATTTTTCCCGTTGTTTCTAATACGCAGTTTAGATGTTGTGGTAATTTTATTCGAATTAGACTTGCTATAAATTGTAAAAATGTGGAGTATGTGGAGTAGGTGTGTATGCTTGAATTAAATTTAATGGTGTTGTTTATCGCAACATTTCACAGAAGGCGCTGATCCTGATGTGGACTATGACGATGATGAGGTTGTGTCTGATCATGCTTGGGAAGAAAGTGGCAAGTTTGAGGGTGATCTGATCCTAAACGAGCGTCAGCGGCGTCTTATAGTTGAAGATGTAGCGGAGGGCCTAGCCAGAAACGGCATTAGTGATGGAACTAAGAGATGGCCCAACAATGAAGTCATTGTTTATATTCAAGTGGAACATTTCAGTAAGTATTTTGTTTGCTTAACGATTCATATAAATAATACAGTACCCAAAAATATAAATAACCACGACCATTTTTAAACTGTTTTAAGGCCTAATATTTTCATATTCAACTAAACAGCAACAGTAATGGATTTTGAATGTTTTTGCAGCTAGCGACCAAGTGCAAGCGATTCAAAATGGAATAGAGGATCTTGCACGGGCATCTTGTGTCAAGTTCCGTCCATATAAAAAAGGAGACCGTGATGCCGTTGTCATTCAGGTACTTTATAGTTATTTCAAAACAATTTTAAAATCTAAGCTTATGCAACAACAATCAATATTATTAAAAAATAAGTAAAGGGAATGACACCTAAAAGAGAGTTGCTAACTTTTAAAAATGATACATGTTGAAACATAATCATATTTCTGTTACAGGGTAGTCGGAGAGGTTGTTTTTCTCAAGTGGGCTACCAAGGCGGTTATCAAGTGTTAAACTTGTCGGGTCGGCATCCTGTCGGACGCGGTTGCTTCCGTCACGGAACGGTTGTCCATGAATTGCTCCACACTCTTGGCTTTTATCACATGCAAAGTAGTCCAGACAGAGATGATTATGTTGATATTGTTTGGCCCAACGTACTTCAATGTAAGAAACAGAATAATATACATAAACTATTCACCTATATACAGTTTATAAACACTTACACTTTTTGTTCGATAGATAGATGATGTTAACGACCAGTAGGCACAACAGCCTGTCGCGAACGCTACACAATGCGAATATCAATTAGCCAACCTGTCTAAGCAATAAACGTTCGGTGTGAAGTAAATTCGATTTCTATTGAAAGTTTCTTTGTATGTTAACTCAAACTTAAGTCGGTATATTTTTGTACTCGAGAAATCAATCGTCCAAATAGTGTTCGTTTCTGAGACGATATTTTGTATGTTTCCAGCGGCGAGACACAACTTTCGCAAATACAACTCGTTCTCCGTGTCAGATTTTGGCGTGGGTTACGACTATGACAGTGTCCTGCATTACAGCCGACGAGCTTTCTCCGTTAATGGCCAGGACACGATTGTTCCAAAACAGGTGACAGAGGTTTTTCCTTAAACTTTGCATTTACTCAGTATGTACGATTGTACGTATAGGAATAAAATTGAAAAGGGGCAATTAAAAAGAAATATGTTTTAATATTAAAAATGACTAAAGTGCGTGTTAACAAGTAATTATTGTGCGTCGAATGTGTAGTAATCGATTCCTGCATTACCCAAGGTCGTAAAATTCCAAACATTTATTTCATTGTGAAAGTAATCTGATAGGAGATAAGTAAGATTAGTAATTGGATAAGTTTTTGTCAAGAATCAATTTCAATTTCAGGTTGGTGCTCAAATCGGACAAAGAATAGGACTATCAGATAAAGATGTACAAAAACTGAATAAAATGTATTGTGACGCTGAATCAGATAGTGGCCAAGCAGATGAAAATGTTACCAAAAAGACGGAAAGTAAAAAAAAGAAAGGCAAGAACAAACCATTTAATGGACAAGGACTTGGCTATCACCAAGGTAAAGCCGTGGTTTTCAAAATATTACCAGCTGCCGAAACTTATAAGTTACCTGACGTACCAAGTTTTCATGTATTTGATTATTTTAGTAAAGAGCCGCAAATCCTGTCGACGTCGGAAAACGAAGGTTTTCGTATTGGAAAAGAAATAGCATATTCCTACAATCCGCCTGAACCAATGACTGCAAGAGATGTTCATTTACCAGCACATATGGACCATGGCCATGAGTTACAATTACAAAAAGAAAGGACTGAAAACGAGGGGCAGAATGAATATAAAAATGTTGCAGAAGTAAAACCTGTAAACAGTCAAATTAACAAGCACTTAAGTAATTCTGGAACGGCCGTAGAGGTCCCTGTACTTGAAGGTCACACTAGTCAATCAGAAGCAGAGGAAACTGATGCAGATTTAATTGATGCGTTTGATAGACTTTCAAAAATAATAAGATTGCACGTGTACCCTTCTCAGACGCCAGATCTAAGTATTTATAAAACAAATAGTCAGTATACTGATCATTACAACCCTTTGCAACTTAAAGGTGAGAGGGATAAACTTATGTCTCCCGTGCAAACTCAAACAAGCAAGCCAGAGAAAGATGAAATGAATGCCGCTGTAAAATTTATAAATAATATGTACGATTTCAATTCTGAAAAATCTATAACTTCAAAAATAGTCGATGGCGATGAATATAACATCAAAGAAAAAAAGGAGATGAAAGATGAATCTATGAAAATTGTACCTGATCAAGAAAACCATTCATTACCATGGTATAAAAATTATAAAGATGCTTTTGTTTCTACGTCAGATTTTGAATCTCCCGAAGGTTATCAAACCAGAAAGGGTTATCCAAACATAGAATTTCCAAAAATGCTCAAAGATGAAAAACCATACGATAATGAAGATGAATGGTATCAAAAATACGTTAAATACTATCCAAATGATGAATATCACGATTATTCTAAAGACAGCTCTGAAGGACACGGATATGCTGGAGATGAGAAAGAAAGCGTGAATAGTCCTTCAATTCCAAAAAGAAAAAATCATGATTATTCGATATATCGCGTTCCAGAACATGTGGCAAAAAATTGGTATATTAAAGATTTCAGTCATGAGAATAGATAGAGTAGGTACCTAGAATAATAAAATTATTCACCAACTTTATCCGTGTCAATAGTTAGATAATATTAGGTGTATTTATATCTTAAGTAGAGGCAATAAGTTGTTAATAATTTGTACAGTGTTATTGTTATTAAATAAATGTACCTACTTAATGTTCAAGTCAATAAAAAAACAAAACTACCTCCGATGTTAATCAATTAAGAAAACCCCGTTAAGTATCTACCACTAAAATGTATCACATACTTACGTAATATCTTTACGCTGAGGTTGCTAAAGTTAAAGGCGAGTATAGACTACAACATTTACTTGTAACAGAACAACGAGCCACGCCATGATATGTTCTGTTTTTTTTTTAAACGTTGCCCCACTTTAGGATTTTCTCCCGTGTCGTGGGTGCGTTTACAAACATACAAGTTCACATACACAATGACACCCAGACCCGAAACAACAATTTGTGGATCACACAAAGTGTTGTTCCGTGTGGGAATCGAACCCACGACCCGTTGCACGGCAGGCGGTTGCCCAGCCACCGCACCAACCGTGCAGTCAAAGTAGTTCTGTGTATTGTATCTTCCTTTTACCAACTAAACGTCGAGTACTCTCGCCTCTTTGTTACAAACCAAGAAGCATATTGGTGGAACATTTCGTCGAGCACCGAGTGCGGGCAGTTCGGGCGGTGCGCGGTTGGGGGGTGACGCTGCAGATAAACGCAGCACTCGCAACTTGTAGGACAATTCCTTACAAAAAAGAATGCACGCATGGTACAACGAAATATCGGTAAATGCAGACTCGCTGTTAGCATTATGCGAATTAGTTCGAAAGTCAGCTTTTAAGTTTCCAGCCACGGTTATGTGTTGCATGATTATCTATCCATTCGTTGACTAAAAATATAATTATGTTATGTTAAATGACTTGACTGCTAAATGTTTAACTTTTTGACTCTAAATAAAATAATCGCAATACGGAACGATAGTAAAATCTAAGTATTTATATAGAAAGTATAGTTATACCTACATCGACATGTAATTTAAAGAAAGGACACTTACTCTTAGGGTATTTGCTGTGCTGTTGCAAACTTGCACCTTCACCTACCTAGCTCATAATAATTACCTATAACATATTAGGTATATACCTAAGTACTAAGCAAAACTTAATAAAGAGTTATTAAACTCATTTTATAAAGGTACCTAACGAACAATTTACTTACCTGATATGAAGTAATTATTCAAGTATGCTTATCACACACATAATTATTTTATATTTTGGAAATGAAACATTTTATTATTTTTATAATTTTTATAAGTATTGCATATCACAATCAGAGAGATCCAATAAGTCTTCTAAATTATCAATAACTTTTTGAAGTCTGTTTTTTCATCTAAATTTATTTTCTTTGACATATTGAATATCTGAAATAAACAAAGTATTAATTGACATGTTACGTAAGAACTTTATATGAAATTCTCAAAATATTTATTTAGTTATTTGCAGCCCAAAAAAATATACAAAAAGACAACCGACTTTTATATAGATAATCTAATATTTTTCAAAGTGGGATCGGACAAGGGTAAGATACTTACCACATATTTGAAACATCTAAATATAATTTAGATGTTTAAAAGTTAGAGTGCATTATTAAAAAAATCACGATGTGGTAATATACCTTTGTTTAAATAAGGGTTAAAGCTCGATGTGTAGCCGTGTGTACGTTCCGTTTCTCCAATATTTTTATCATATGCGTTGATTGGAGTAGATGAAACGTCTGTGTCAACGTTAACATCTGTCATCTGTCAAATTATTACAAGAACCTCGTTCATTAGTCATTCTTGTTCGTTCACTGCTGATTGATTATTTACTATTGTATTATTTTGATTTTGTTGTCATAAATAATTTTGCGATTACAGAAATGAAAGCTATAAAATGTTGATAATACGTAGTACTTAAGATTGAACAACAATTCATTTGCAATGAAAAATCAAAGGCGGTGACGGTTGTGAAGGTTGTTATCAAATAAAACTTATTGTTTAATGGGTTGTGCCGTGTCGTGCGTCAACCGAGCGACAATGTCGTTGTTTGGAAGACAGAATAATGACAATGATGCTCGAGCAAAACTGGAAAGGAAGTTATACATCGCCAGGGAATCACCAGAACCGGATTTTGATCTATCAGAGTGCCAGCTCCGCCAAGTGCCGTCCGGTACTTATTCGATATGCAAGGTATACAGAAAAGAACGTTTGTATTTGCATATTAATTGTCTACACTCATTAGAAGAAGGAGGTCAATTGTCAGATTTGTACCTTGTTAAGGTAATTAATCTTAGTTGTAATAGATTTGTACAACTACCCAGTGATATTAGATATCTGGTTAACCTGACTGAGCTGTACATTCAAGATAACCACATTAAAGTCCTTCCTGAGAATATACAGTATATGCAATCATTACAAATATTAGATGTCTCCAAGAATAAGCTTCAAAGCCTAACACCAGCAATAGGTAAACTAAAAAATTTAAGGAAACTTAACCTCAATGAGAATAAAGATTTATATGAACTCTGTCCAGAATTATGTTTAGCTACTAATCTAACATCATTACATATAGATGGTGAACAATTTGTATTCCCTCCGTCTGATATTGCCATACAGGATACTGCAGCTATTATGAAATTTTTATGTGATAAAATGAACATAGATTACAGCCCTCCAATATCCATAGACCAGGAAATGCCGACTGTTCAAACTCCTACCATGGTTCTGGATCCATTTGTCAGACGTAATACACTGACATGGGAGGAACAAGAGGCTGCCATTATTGAACAAGAAAATAGACTACACAAGGCAGCCAAGGAACAAAGAGAAAAGTTTTTAAATACCATAATACAAGAACAGATGGAGTTAGATAATGAGATAGCTAAAGTACATATGGTTAAAGAAATTGATCGACAAAAACTCATAAAAGCAATACAAGAAGATGAAAAAGAAATTGAATGTTTAGTCAAGAACTTTATACAATCTGACTATTTAAAACCAGAAATAATACAACAACAACTTGCTTACGAGCAGGCTGAGCATGACAGGTTACTTGAGATTACCAGACAAAACTATGATAATATCAAAAAGGCTGATGTATTAAGGGCAATGGAAATGCTCATCGAAGAAGACTATGCAGTGAGACATTCCAAGAAATATTATGAAGATTCTCTGAATAATGTGAAACAAAGCATGCTTATGCAGGATTTAGAAGTAAGTGAAAAATTGACTGAGCTATTAAACGCCAAAGACCAATCCCGCACAGCTTTAGTGGAACAGCTATTAGAAGATCAGGACATTCAAATGGCGATTGTAGCTTCATTGCTAGAAAAGGTTGATGCAAAAACATGGAGCTTGAATCAGGAAATATCATTGATTTCTTCACATTTGGCACGGCTCAGTGTTATAGAACAAGAAAAGAAAAGATTGCAAATAGCATATAATTATAATGAGTTGCTTCACCAGAGAATACAATTGGTTAATTTATTAGATGACCTTTTTGGTCAACAGAATAAAAGACGAAAACAACTTGTTGAAACTTTAAAGGAAATGGATAGTGAAACGAATAAATCCAATGATTTCTGGTTAAAGAATTACCAGAAGTTAATGGATTCTGCTCCAAGAACTTTATTGGATATTGGAAAAAGTTTGGACCCCATTCTAGCTAATTACCTTTTACAAGAGGGTGTAATACATTGTTTGCCATTCTTGGTCAAATTTTTGTTTTCTGGTGACTCCTTATTGAACATCACCAAAGAAGAACTAAAGTTGAGTGGTGTCTCATTGTCAACTGACAGAGATGCTATAATAAGAGCAATACATTTGTATGTGGGAGCTAAGAGTCAGAACCACAACTATGAGGCATCACCTGTTGGTGCACCAAGTGCTCCCACTGAAGAACTGACTGAGGAGCAGCAATGTACCGGAGTAGTCACAACAAGCCAAGCTGATGACACAGTGCTGGAAGCAGAATGTGTAATTTGTATGGATGCTAAGAGTGAGGTGGTGTTTGTACCATGTGGTCACATGTGTTGCTGCCAGCCATGTGCTGGCAAGGAGATGGAGAGCTGTCCTATGTGCAGAACTACCATAGAAAGGACAATCAAAGTGATGATTGCATGATGACTCTTGTTTCTGAGGTAAATATAAAAACATATCCTATATTATTCTTTACTAATAGAAAGAGTAAAGAAATTGATTGTAAAGCTAAAATTGTAATTATTTATTTCAGGAGGCCCAATGAACTGAAGAAGTGATGAAGTATTGATGCAAGATTTATTTAAATTTCTTTCAGAGATTTCCTTCACTATTGTAAGTTTTACAATGTATCTATGTTATTTATAGTTACGACTTGATGAAATTAATGAGTCATCAGCTCTTGCACAATTAAGCTTGAAGTTTGCTGAGCAATTGTTTTCATTGCTCTATTTTATACCCATTGTAAAAAGAGGGGTGATTAGAACTTCAAAGAAACCATATTATTTTTGTTGTGATGTATTATTTTCGAATACTTTAAGAAAGTTAAGCCACATGAAGATAAAGTAGGTACCTTGTCATTTAATCAATTTACAAGAGATAAATATTAAGTATTTGCATATTTGCTGATAAAATTATCAGATTGTAATACTTATGTTGAAAATACACTTTCGATTGTTTTGATATTCAATGAAGGGAGTGTTCTTTTATATTGAGACTAGCTACATTCCACCCGCTCTGCTCGGCGCCTATTGATCGTAGCGTGAGGTTTTATAGCCTATTAGCCTTCCTCGATAAATAGACTATTCAACACAAAAATATTTTTTCAAATCGGACCAGTAGTTCCTGAGATTAGCATGTTTAAACAAACAAACTCTTCAAGATAAGATAATAGAAACATTTGTTCTATGTGACATCATCTTTTATATAATGTACAATATGAAATAGTTAGGCTTTCCTCATAACTGAGAACAAACTATTTTTAAAGTATTTAGTTCCACATGACATGTAAGTATTGGTTTTATTATTTTCATACTTAGTACAGATAGAGTATTTTACTTGTAATCATAGTTGAAGATTTTTTTTTATATGAGAAATAATTGGGGAGACTTACTATTTTTTAAACATTCAATCAATTGGACTACTTTTTCTTCATGTGGAATTGTGAACTGTGAATGGAAGTTGATCTTGAATTACTCCTATGGGAGAAATTCTCCATTGAATGTGATTTTAACTGGTGATTATTATTTAAATATTTTAACGTTTTTTACATTATTAATTATATTATTTATAAGATAAAAAAATAAGTTGAAAAACGCTGTTAACGCCATCTTGCGCTTTCTAAGGTATAGTTGAAACAAAGCGCAAAATGGACCAGTTTGCAAGATATTTTGTTAGGTTTCTATAAACATTTTGTTATTCACATTTTATCAATATTATTCGACAGATGTGTTTTGTTGTGTTATAATGAAATAATGTTAAGTTTTAGTGTTATTCGTACGAAAATATTGTATTGTTATTCACATAAAGAAGACTGGATACACAAATGCCTTTGTGTGCATGGAATGGGGCCTACCGTATTTTTGCTCAGTAGATGACGCTAGTGTGAACCTCTCGTTCTTCTTCCAATAGGGAATTAGCTAGTGTCACGCCATTGGAGGTTGAATATGTGACAGCTGCTGTGATTGGACAAAATACTTTTTCCTACATTTGCACCTTTTGGTGAGCAACAATATGGTAGCCCCCATTAACTTGATAACGTAATGTAAATACTAGTCACTTTCATTTTATCATCAATTGGATTCACATTGGGTGTTGTGTGACAAAAAATGACTTGTCAAAATGTCTTTTAATATAGATGTTAAACAGCTGTGGCTGTGACTTTTAATGAAAGTCAATCTAAAAGATTGTGCCTTCTAGTTGATGCCAGTGTGTGGTTGGCATGGTTCTCATCACTCTTGAAAGTCTGTTGCTCAATTAGTAGCGCGGGGATATCTCATTATAGGTAACTAGCGTTATGTTAGTGCTTACGTTACCTACTGTGGGTACTGGCTTTCTTCAAAAGATTTTCGATTTAATTATAAATAAGGGAAGGTGAAAATCTGTTTAAGAGTTGATGTATATTCTGCCCATTGAAAGCGTCCGATGCATGCTAATTGAGTAAACAGACTTGACCATAATGTTCATGCAATGAACAAATTAAAATTATTGATGCTTTTAAATTAAATACTTGCAAGGGCTGTGCCAATTGGATTTTGAGAAAATATCTAGAACTAGTATAATATATTTTCGATTGTATCTTTGTCCATAAAACGCTCATTTATTCTTAAATTAAGTCATTACGTTATACTATCGTGTCTTGATTATATAATCGATTATTATATCGGAAACGCTTTTTATATTATTTAGTTTTATTAGAAGTTAATTTGTAAAGTTGTTCATTAGCCAAAGCATAAAATAGAGAATACATTATAGCAATTATATTCTTAAGAAGTACGAACACAGTAGGAACTTAAGGTACTGTACCATAGATCGGTTGAAAACGCCGTTACTGGCAATAAAAACACGCAAATAAATAGAAGTAGATACTCTGTATAAGGTCAATACTAATATAGAATGAGTTAGATATATACTCTTCCAATAAGCGGTAAAGACTAATTATTATTATATTAAACATAGTTGTTTATGAAGCTACGACAACGTACGAATTACTGCCTATAGTTCTGATTGAGATAAAATATCTATTTAAAAAATAGTCATGCAGTGGAGATAGATATTTAGAACATTTAAATAGATATTTTATATCAAGCACCTAAATTAATAAATTAAGGTACCACTCACAAGGAATAGCAGAAATTAATATAATCTGTGGTTATAAAGTATATTGGAACAATTTAAGACTACATGATAGCAATAACGTTATAAAGTAAGGTTTGTTACAATAATGCACCGATATTGGCAGTTAAGTCTATCGATAAGTATCAAATAAGCATTGGTTTTTGACCCGCTGAGCTTTTGATGTATAGTCAACTGCACTCTAGTACAAAAATGATCATTATCGCTTTGTAATAAAGATGCTTTTTAAGGCCAATATTTTTGTGTACGTGCAGTTGGCTGTGTGTCACATGTGTATCGTGTTATTATCTTCGCATATTAAATATCTATTGATACTGGGTTATAGCCTTGCAGGTGGAGGTTAAGTGGACTTGGGAGTTGGTTTAAGGAATTGTCTCCATATAAGGACTAAGTCGACTTATTACCTTAATCAAACATTGCACATTATTGTTATTTCTGCAATAGGTGTCCACTGTCCCATCATATCTTTGATATGGCGATTTTGAATGGAGATGACAACTCTATAGTCGCAAGGTTTCCCGAACAACGGCTTTGTATAGCGTTCTGAAAATACCTAGCGGTCGTCTTGGTTCCTAACGAACTCGATAGATGGCGCGAACAAAAACTTTTACAATACACGTCGACATCTATGCAAGCAGTACCTTTGAAGAGCTAATTGACCAAATAGTTACTTTATTTACTCTTGGTCGTACCTATTATTTTCTATATATTTTTTATGCATTTTAGGCGTATGCAAAGAAAACACGGTGGGACAAAGATTGTCGTATCATAGGTAACTGTATAAGACATCGATTTATGATAATCTTTGTCATTTACCTAACGTATGTCCAATAGTGTAAAAAATATTATTTATTATTGCGTAGTTTAGTTTTGTTGCCATTATGAAATACAATTTTATTCAAGTGGTCAGACTGAAGCTGATGATTATTTTTAAGCACGAAACAAATTATTTTTAGCTTTTAACTTTAAATTAGTGGTTTAGTATTTAAAGGTTATCTATATAAACATTGTATTTACCCACCTTTTCAATTTTATCTGTTGGTTTTTAATTATTGCTTGCTTTTAACGTGCTGTGTGATATTGCTACACACGAGTTATTATCATTTTATTTATTGTTGTGGAGGTGTTGGCACGTGATTGATATTTGACACCTGATATTCACGCGGATACGTTTTTATGCGATCTGTGAAATTATTTTCCTACTTTTTGAAGTTAATAAACACTTATTTATGAAAATATATAAGTTATAGCACATACCGTTTTTTTATTTCTTCCGTTGTATTAACTTTTCATTTAAGCTTATTATTCATAAGAAAATCCTCGTTATTTCTTTATTATGTACGTACTTTTCCTCATAAAGAGCAGAAACCAGGAATTTTTCATTAAAATATGAAATCAATTTGGCAGTTTGGCGCCGTATTAAGTTGATACGAGTATTAGATTTATCTGTGAAGCCGAGTGCTCTGACATAATAGCCCTTTGTTACATGCGACGCGACCTATAATAATGGAGTTTACACGCAAATAGCAATTACAGCCGAGCCTTTCAAGTCAACCCTCATTCCCTTCAGAAACATGAAGGCAATTTTCTAATAAAGGTAAAGAGCTGTTCCAAAATATTTGAGAGATGTTTATTGCCTACATTTGGTGAGACATAAGCCATCATTTTAACGGTAACTTGTCAGTTACTAATTTGTATTCGATAGATACTGTAGCAACTTAACTGGCAAATGGCAGTAACACTTAAAATGAAAATAATTTTATTAGAGGCGAAAAACATTTTGCCTACGTCAATATTTTCTATTTGTCGACGAATTTTGGCTCGGTAAGGTTTGATGGCAGTTCTCCTACGAGCCAACAGAGGTAGAATAAATAATGTCCACATTTTTATTCAGCTCATGTCCTGCTGAGGGCGTCAACAACGCAATGTCGAACCAGCGGGAGGCTACATGTTGTTTTATATAAGTGGAAGGAAAGCACACTGAAGTACAATTGACGCTATTATTTTTTAGGGGAAAATCAAACGTTTATCTCTTCACTGTGTATTCGGAAAGAATAGCAATGAATGGTGGGGCTGTGGCGGTGGTTTCGAAGTATGTAGGTACTGACAAATAAAGAAGCTGATCATAAATATGGTCCCGACACGAATTTGTTCAGCAGCGCCTCGGAGTAATTTTATGTAAATAACCTCACCTACTTGTAATACGGAGTAAGGCGCATCCCGCATGGACTCGTTATATAAACGTCAGCTTCTTCGAAATGTGAGCCGAAGCAGCCAAGGAAATTGAATCG